AAGAAAGAAAAATCATGAAAATCATGTTAATTTTTAGCAATTAATTAAAGCGCTTTAACCAAGCGTTGGTTGCCTTAGTGTTCATTCCTCGGGAATTGTCAATTTGCTTTGAATGATTGTAAGCCAAATGTTCAGCCAAATTTTGCCATCGTTTGGTTTCCTTGAAATTGACCAATTTACCACAAAATCTACATTTTAATTCATTTGGAGTGACATCAAAACCATCCCAAATCCCATAATCCATGTTTTTCATTATTTTATCGTGGAGCCAAGAAAATTTAGTTTGGTTAAGAGACAACAATTTGGTACACAACAAGTTCCGCCAAGTATCCTTATCCAGATTCATGTTGGATGAAAGTTCATCAGAACTTAGTCGTTTGATCACAACAGTTGGTTCTTCGAATTCATCGAATTCGACACAATCTAATAGATTGTTAATCAAGTTATTAATTTCACTCATTATAAAAAAAAACTGAGAAAAAGAAAGAAATAAACAAAACAATAAGTAAACAATACTGAGAGAAACAACTCAGGAAATGGAAGTGACCTGACACGGAAATGGAAGTGACCTGTGGTCAGAGGTTGACCACATAAGTGGCGCCACCTATTGATAAAAGTTGAAACTAATTTGAAAAGTGCGCGAAATTTAAATGGGTCTTAATGGTAAATCAATGGAAATAAAAGAAATCAATTGTTAGTCATAATTGAACGTAAGCGATGTCATCTGGTTATGAAAATTGGGCATTATTATGCAATTGAAGTTGACTTTCACTTTCAGAGACCAAGTATGAATCCAGTATCAGTGTCAGACCATATAATTAATTGTCAGACCCATTGTAAGATTGTCAGACTTACGTTTAGAATTAAGAAAATCAATCGTCCGAAAGGGACTTCGGTCTTTTCAAGGTGGAGAGAGATGTAAGGCCTGGGAAAAGGCATAAAAGTTGTGGATTAAATTTAGAAATTCGAAGAAAAGGTAAACGAATGGTCATCAAGATTGGGATTAAGATTGAATCATTGTATCTTTAAGGACATAAAATGAGATAAAATAGTAAGCGCAAGGTTAAAGATTGACCCCATAAATTACTCTCATTAAAGTCAGACTTGTCAGATTTTATGATAATTTATCGTCAGACCCTGAACTGACGGTCATTAATGTCAGACCCTAACCCTGAGTTATGACCTTTATCAGAGTAACCATCTGCCGTGACCTTAAGTGCATGTTCCCTTCCCCTTCCTTTGTTTGGTTTGAGGATAAAAGAGAGAGAGAAAGAAAGAGAGTTCAGATTGAAAATAGATCAACATCAGTTTGTTTGACTCAAATTTGGTTTCAGTTTTAAGTCTATTTTGTGCTTTGTTTTTTCAGTTTAATTAAAGTTTGGTTTAAATAGACTAACGTTTTATATTTTCTTTCTCACCTTAATCACCTTAAATCATTTAATCATTTGTTTTCTTTCAACATTAATTTTGTGACAATATTATTATTGATCAGATGGATGATTAAGAAATATCAACCATAATTATCTTGATCACTTTACTTTGTCCAATGCGAAAGATTATCTTGATTATAATCAAATCATAAGCAACCAAAGACATTATCATCTTTAACTGGGTAACTTGATAATCCAACCAGATTATCATGTAAAGATAACTGTTAATCAAAATACGTTATGATATTATATGATATTAAATTGTTACTAAATTTGTATATAAATTATTCAATAGTCAATCAGCTCAACGATGGTTAATAAACTTTGTCCTTTGAAGTAAAAATTGATCAATAAATCGGTGGATTTTTTATTGATTCAATTGTAAAGTGGATTGTGATGATTACGATTTATCGATTGATAGTAAATGTTGAATATTCACCAATAGATTGAAAATGAATTAAGACCAATTTTGGGTAAACCAATGGATCCTAATGGTCAATGGTTTAAATTGTTTCATGTGATTACCATTAATTTATTGGAGACAAAGATGAGAGGAGTAATTGATGATAAGAAGAAGATATTTATCTATGGTATCATCTCTTAACATGCAAAGGCCATTAGCAACAATGAAAACTGACCAATCGAGTGAGAATAAGGTACCAACCATAGGCAACAAAACAAAATGAAGGTGTTGAAAGGATGAAGATGACGATCAAGATGAAGATGAAGATTAAAGATGAAAGTAAATACACACATCTTCAAATGGCGATAATGATGATGACCCTCTTCATCCCTGGACCAATGATGAAGACGATGTTTACCAATACATAGACAAAAGCACATTTAAAGTCATTAATCAATTGGAACAAAAAAACACACAAAAGGTTAATGATAAGTAATAATAGTTAACACCACGGAGAGAGAGAGAGAGATGAAGAGTAAGATGATAATAGGAAAACCATTAGATTGTAAACAGCGACAAACAATAGGAAAAGAGAAAAGAAAAAAAAATAAAAGCAAAATAAATGTTCACTTGTAATAGATAATAAATTAAAGTAAATGATTAACAAATTGTAGATTTAAATTGATCTCCAGTTAATCGGCGTTAATTTGACACCAGATTGGAAAAGATCGACTAATTAAAAAGGAACAATTAATTTCTTTTAATCGGATTAACAAATTGGTTACTTTTCGCTTGAGATGAAAATGGTGACTGATGAGTCAACGTTTATTTTTTTTTCTTTTCTAATTTTTTTTCTATTCTCTTTTCTCTCTGTTGTTGTTTTTTCATTTTCTCTTTTGTTTTCGGTTCATTTTGATTCCTTTTTCTTTCTAATCTCTTTTTCTGTGAATAATTCTCATGATAATTGGGTGAATTAAGTTCTAGTTTATTTCCGTGGATAAGTAAATGGAGAAAACAAAAAACTTACTCTCCTTTGTGTGTCCGAAAGGTTTTTAGTTGACCAGCAATTTTTATGTTCCATCTTTATCACTGTTACTCTCTCATTTTCTTGTGACAATTTTCTAATTGTGTGTTTTTCTTGGTGTTGTACATGGTGAAGAGTAATTCTAATGGTGAATCAAGAATCACCGGACTGTAAATCAAATTAATTCTCAACTTTTGGTGAATCATCTTGATTCTCAACCTTCTCTGACAATCTTGGTTTTCCCTTGTCTCTTTTTTGTTCCTGTTTTGGATTGACCATGTAACCAAATCCAGAAATTCTGAATGACCTTAACTTATCATTATCATTCTTATAGTTATTATCATATGTGACATTGGACCTTCATTGGACTGTTGGCTTGATGTTCCAGTTGAAACCACCAAGTAAAATGGAGACTGAAAAGATAATATGATTATATTTCAATTCTAAACAATCAATCAATCATTATCATTCTCACACAATCTTATATCCGATATCTTTTTTTGTTGCTGTTAATCATTTTCTTATTAATCAACGGTAGAGAAAATCACACAGAAAAAAAAGATTAAGATGACCATCAACATGACAAAAGGAGAGAGAACCATAAGTCAAAGTATTAGAATCAATCTAACTGATTACAATATAATAATTCCTATTCCAGATTGACCAAAGTAAAGAGATGGAGAAAATGAGAAATGAGAAAACAAGTTGCAAAAAAAAAGATACAATTAATTTGGACGAAAGCTTATATTCAACTATCCGGAATCAAGAGTGTTGACAATTAACATGATTAACTGATAAAAAGAACCAACAATTTAAATTATCCAGTTCACAAGAGTTTCCAAAATTAACACACTCTGACAAAATGGCTTATCATTGACACCATCTCATCATAATAATAATTTCTACATCTAATCATGATCATGATCATTGTTAATTATCATGACAATTAAATTCTGTTATAATAATAGTTAATCAAACTAATGATTACTATTAGCCAAGAGATAGAGACTTGAACACATACACACACTTGAATTAGGAGGTAAGTTATTTGCCATTGAAAAAAAAGTTGAATTATTCTGAAAATTCATTAAAAAAAATACTCAGACATGATAAACGCTCCTATTATCATGATTCCCAGAATTTAATATAAATTATTTTCACGATAATAATATGTTACATAGTAAAAATATATTACTTAGTTACTTTAACTTTTTGATAACAAAAAAAAGTTATATTACTTGAAAGGATATCCTAACCATCATCATACAATAATCATGAAAATTATCATGAAAACTAATCATAATTTACAGTTAACTGTTAGTATCAAACCTTAAAACTGATAATAAAATGCTAACACAATGATATAAGAAACAAAAAATTCACATAGACCAAAATGTGAGCTTTTAAATTGTTATAATCATCACTCCCTGTTAATTGTATTAACCCATTTGATGAACTAATTTTTTCCCATTACTTTTTTTTCTGGTCAATCTAATTCATATTAACCTTTACTATCCATAGAGAAAAGTAATTATTACAATTACAATGGATGCAATTAGTTTCCACACTAATTACAATTCAACATTAATTATATTAATAATATCTTTCCTTTAATTAATCTTACTACTCTTTCTACTGATTATTATTACAATTTACAATTTAATTGTTCACAATGAGAATCACATAGAATCAGGTGGATAATTAAAGTTGATTTAGAACTTTTTAAAAACCTTTTTTCCCGATTATAATTCTGTATATTTGTTTATTACTGTTCTCACCCTCGAGTTATTACATTAATAAGTGAACCGTTTCGCTGTTGATTATTTGACTTTCAATTTAATTGTTTTCCGATTGTTAAATTGATTGTGGTAAATGTTTAACAACCAAATAGTTGTTTTCATCTCAACCAAGTTGATTTATTGATTGACCCACAAAGACACCTTAACTATTACTGCGCTAACCTATGTTATCATAATAATACATATTTGACATTCATTATTGACAATTGAAGATGAGGATGATGATGATGATGATGATAAGGGAAACATTAGAGAGAAAGAGCAATATGAATGATGAAAAGCTTTTCTTCCCAAATGATGATTGTTCTTTATTTTTTTTTCTTTTCCATAGGTTATTATTATTTCCATACAATTGATGATTAACTCTCTCTCTCTCTCTGACCATAGTACTGACCATTTAAAGATGATTATCTCTTGGTGGTTATTCAGTTTTACTCATTTTCATGATAACTTTCAAATCCATTAGCATTTGCAAGGTGAACTTGTTTATCTCTCTGTTGATTAAAATGATTTATTAAGATAATCTTTAATTACTCTAATGATTATCTTAGATTAGACTGATTCAATTAGTCTACTATTGACTGAATTCATTGATAAATGATTGTTATTTCAACCTAATTGTGCTACTTGCGATTTAATTTGTTGATATATTATAGCAAAATTTTCAATGTTCATCAGGAAATTAAACTCTTAAGGTTAAGTAAATAGCGATTATTTGAAAATCAATTTAATTGCAACCGAATATTTTTTATTGGTCTTTTGGGTAACAATTAAATTTTAATTCGTTTCCTTAATTGTTTGATCATTTTCGTTTCATTGTATTAACACTTATCTTAATTTGATAACTCACGAAATCATCATTACAATTAACACTAATAACAGTGATTATGATTCATCATAATGATGATAATTAACAAATTACTTTATGAAACTGAATTTGTATCAGTTTGTTTGAGTTAATTGTCATCGTGATGATTAATTTAATTTACTGATTTATTATAATAATTTAGTAGTGTCAATTGGTTGTGATGGCTAATCAAATTGTTGTAACAATCAATATTAAATGTTGTTTAAGGTCAATATTTATGACTCTTGATTATGGTTATTATTATCGTTGATGATTAAAAAGATGATGAATTAACTGTTAACTAATCACTAGAATGATGAATGATGATCAGGGATGAATTGATGAGGAAAAAGGGATAAAAATATGAATTTATTTATAATTATCATCAATCCATTGATAAATCATCTTCACCATGATAATCATTGTCTGATCATCAGATGATTATAATCAATATAATCATTATCCCAATTGCGTGACAAGAAACAATCATCAACGTTGAAATAATTTGCTGATCATCATTTGAAAATTTTAGTTCCAATCCAACCAAAAAGTATCAATTGTTTATCCAAAGTAATTAACTTGATTGTGATCCTTAATTGTTGACAAAATCCTTTTCATCTAATACAAAAGACAGAAAAAAACAATTAAAAACATGAAGCTCATGAGGTCTTAATTAGTGTTGATAACAATGATATTAGTGTTTACATATATTGATTAATTGATTGTTGAGATGAAAACAATTGACCTGCAAACAATTAACTGTTACGATGACAAAAAAAGGGTTACAATTAATATTTTAATTGTGTGATCATGATTTTCATCAGGTAAACTAATGAAAATTTTACAACACGAACATAAATTTGATAATAATTATTATCATCTCATGATGATGTTAATTTTATCTTCCTCCTCCTCATCATCATGATTGAGACATGAGCATCCTGAATCCATGATAATAATAATTTCCTTGATTGTTAGTTATTCTGAGCACACAGAATTGAAATTGTAATCAATAAATTAAATGGACTGGAAAGCTGTTTCCAATTGGAGTTATCATTTTCATTCCCATTGAATCAATTGATGATGATTGTTAACAATCAACTAAATAACTGGAAGCTTCGTAATGATGATGATTATAATCAACCTTGATTGGTTAAAGTTAGCAAATAATAGTTAATTCAACAACTAAATGATCAACCAGCTAATCAACATGATTACAGTTCAGAGTGTAAACAAACGAGTGATGTTTATATTTTTCACTTAATCAATGAGATATCATCACCACTACGAACTGGACATCATCGTAATGTCCAGTTCATGATTATTCAGTCAATCTGATTGATATCTTCATCATCTTATCCTTGATATCTACAAATGATAACCAATATCTTGGAGGGAAAACTCCCTGGAGATTAGACTGTTGCTCTCTCTCCCAGTTTCTTTGTTGTTTACTTGGTTTATCTTCCTTTTCATCTTGATTATCATCTATTGAGGGGAAAAATGAACGAAAACAATATTTAATTAGTCGATAGTTAAACACGATGATTAGTTAACTGTAGTAATTGGAAACTGATGAAATTGTTAAACTTACATTTAAGACTCTGGTGATTTCTTGAGTTTCATGAACAAAATGAATTATTGTTGAGAGAGAAAGTGAGAGAGAGAGAGAGAGTTAATACTTCCTGTGGCAAAAAACGTTCCAATTATCATGAAGATATTCAACTATAAGGAATGAATTAAATTCAAACTTCCAACTTCCTTTTTCCATGTAGACTCATTGATCTGAACTTTTTTTTTATCCAAAATGAAAAAAAAACAGTTCAATCCATTTTCATAGTGATCATAAATTCAAAGTTAATTGTGATCAGTAAATACATTAAAAAAGTACAAAATGTAAATTATTTACATTGAACAATTTAATTATACTTCTAAATACACACACATATTGTAATCAGAACTTTTTCATCAAATTAATTGATTTTTTTTTCATTTCGTCAATGATATTATTACATTGATTTCCACAGCAATTTAACAGTTAATCAATATGATTATTTGAAAAAATCTGATTCCATGTGAATCAACATTTTCAACCGACAACAATCAACTTTTATATGAATCAAAGTAAATGAAGTTAATTATCATTATAATAATAACCATTAATAATTTTGGATCGATAAGTGAAAAGTTTTTTTCTCTTTTCTTCACAATTTATAAATTGTGCTCTGATGTTGATTGATTAAAAAGTCATTATAATGAGTGTATGTCAACTCGCTGATTATTAAGTAATAGACACACACACACACTCACCTTGATTCAAATTGTAATCAGTGTTAATTGTTATTTATCCTAAATGTCATTATCATTATTTATGATTGTTACAATTTCTGGTTCATTAACACTTAACAATTTAATGGTGAAAACTTTTATATTCAATGAATTTGCATTCAATCAATTTGATGAAGATGCAAAGGTGATGATTAAAATGAAACCTTAATCATTATCAAATTGGTTAAAGAATTAAAATCGATAACTCAATCAATTTGATTTCTTTCTCCAATGAAACCATCAATCTCTTTAATTCATTACAATGATACAGAGATGAAGATGATAAGGATGATGAAGATCAAAAAGAATCTCTTACATACCTTTTAATAGTAAAAACCTTTTTCCAATCTTCTTCATCATCATGGAAAATCAGCTTTTCATGAATAGAATTTTTTTATTCTCTCTTTCTTTTCCTCCAATGTAAACACTTTGAGTTCATTATCACCAAACATGAGCTTCCATATACTTAAATCTTGATAAATTTTCTTGTTCAATACATTAACTTATTCTGACATGAAAAAAGTTCAGTTAAGTTTTTTTTTCAACTCATTTAATTGTTGCAACTTGTATATGGTTTCCATCATGATTGTTGACTAAATTATGACCATCATGATATCTATGTTTCAATGATGCTTGGTAATTGATTTCATGTAATTTGTTTACTTGAATCTGCAAAGAAAATTGAATAAAAGTTGAGATTAGATATTCAGAGTATCAGCTGATTGTTTACCTTTTCATTTATCAATTAGAGAATTAAAATTTAATCATGAAATTAACACTCTCAGAACTTTCATCTCCTTCATTTTCCATCTTCCTCATCACCATTAAGATCAAATTTCACATCATCATTAATAAATGATCAGTCATTTTCTTCCTTCTTCTTTTCCTTCATATGATTTTGTTACTCGTTTCATGGGAAACTCATGAAGAAAGGTTAATATAATTTCTGGTTGTTTAGTGGAAAAATTTATCAATGATAAATTTACTTCTCGTTGCTTCCCTTTAGTTGATTTAATCTTCTATCTTGACTTCCCAATCTGCATCCTTATCCTTTGGCTGGAGATAAATATAAACCATCGTCACGATTAATATCAATAATTTCCAATCCAAAATCTCGCATATTATGTTTTGTTTTTCTGTTGATCTGCCAATTTGATCTGAGACACAACAAGAGAAAAGGATAGAAACGATAAACCAACAAAACTAAATTAAAATACAAATTAATTGATCCAGAAAAATGTCATCTTTTTGTTTACCTTGTGAGATTGATTGGATTAATGTATCCAAGAAAACGATGTCATTTATATTTGATGGTGAATGAACAATGATGTGATGAAAAGACTTCATTGAACAAGATGAAATAATATTGATGATGATAATGATACTCTCTCTGTGCGTAGATGTTGATTGTAATCTGGTTAAAATGTAATGATTGACTAGCTCATTTATCTTGGTGAAAAAAGTGTTGGTTTGAAAGCAAAAAGTGTATCAAGTTGCTGCTCATCATGTAACGTATCATGTTGTTGGTGAAATGACTACATTGATGTTTGGTTAATCACCATAAGAGTAAACTGAATACAAGAGTTTACCATCAACAAAAATGATCCAAACAACAGTAACAAATAACAATACCATAAACAACAACAACTGGAACAGTTACATGAACAGGAAACAGAAAAAAAATCCTTTCCTTTTCCTTTTTACTCCTCTGTCTGTCTTAGGAAATTTCTTCATCTCCAAGTCTTCATCATTTTCTTGGGCCTTTCCTTTTTCATCATCATCCAATTCTGGTCTTGTTACGATTCACCATGTAACCCTTTTTGTAATATTGTTAATGGACGTTAGAAGATTTGACGTGTTAACCAAGAAAGATTTTTTCTCTCTTCATCATCACTCTTTTCCTTAATCATCTTTCATTGTTCAGGTCTTTTTCCTTATAAGATTTTTCTTCTTTCTCCTTGGATAGCTGAGTTCAATATCGACCTTGATACAATGTCAATCAATGGAAACAAAAGAAAAGCATTTGCATGATAAACTGGAAATCCTTTTTTTTTCTTTTCTCTTTTGGTCTTTCTCGTTATTCATTCCTTAACCTATGGTAAGCTTGAAGTAGAATCACAAAACGATGATGATGATGAAAGAATAGGCTGAAAATTAAAGAGAATCAAGTTTCAGCGATCTTCTTGTTGATCAAATTTGATTGGTGCATAAAACTGTCATTATCAGCGATAAAAAAACAGAGAATCCAAAGAAAATTAGACAAAGCTGATTATGTTGATGGTTGATTGTGATATGTTGATGATGATGATGATGATAATGGGATACCAACTTGAGATTTAACAGACTGCAACATGAAAAAGTGACGTTCATTTGTCCAATTAGTAAAATGATATTATCCAATCTTTTGTTTAATTAAGTGGAGAAATAATTAAAACAAAAGATTATCATGATATTCAGTATTAAAGAGAAACCAATTCATTATCATGATTATGTTGTGACGTTTTTTTTTGACCATCGCGTGATTAAGTGACTTGGGTCAATCTCTCATAAGATTTGTCACCATTTTGTGTCAAGCAAATAAAATGAAAGAGAAAATAAAAGATTGGATTAGAATAAGACTGAAAATGGAATAACAAATTTTGGATAAACTTACACGCGAAAAAGGCGACAAAACGATTTGTACAAAATCCAATGGTTAATGAACGTAACAATTAAGGAGATAGAGTATTAAATCTGATTACTGGCCACAGAGTTTAAATCCAAACAATTAGTTAATGTTCAATTTCAAGGATCAGGTGAGTTGGTGTTCAGGTAAAGATGAGATACATTAACCATACACAAAGTAATCTAATTAACATGGAGGCAAAAAGGGAATCAATTAACAAAGAAGAGAAAAAAAAATAAACAAAATGGCGACAGTTAATGTTGATATATTTAGAAGACACAAAAGAAATAAATTACTTACCTGGTTGTTTGTTCCCATGTAATTCTGACAATTTATCTCCTTGATTAGTAGACGACATTTAATCACAATTAGAATCACTTTGATTGAGAAAGAGTTAAATTAACAAGATGAATGTCCAGTCGTTTTCATGGCTCATCACACACAAAGGAAAAGAAAACAACTTACCTTTTATCTTTGAAAATCGTTGTTTAATTAAAGATGAAATTCGTTAATTGCTAATAAGCTGATTGTCTACATTAACCATTGGCTCTTAATTGGGAACAAAAATTAACAATTTCATTTGGAAAAGAACAAAAATGAAAAAAGAATTAGAACAAAAAAAAATGTTCTTTTCTCTTTGACAGTTTTTCTCTTTTTCTTTGTCAACATGATCACCGGTCATTGGAATATCATTTCTCCTCAAGTGTAGATAAGAATCTCAATTGTCATTATGTCAATTGTTTTCTCTTTAGATTTGATTGTTTCGTTTTCACCGATCAAACTGTTTACTAAATTGTCTCTTAATTGTCTCAAGATATGATTTATCTTCATCTTCTCCATCAAAATGATTAACTCATCGTCTCCGAAAATCCTTCAAGTTGCTTTACCAAATCAACTCTTTTCTCATCATTTTAATTTCATTTCTTCCTTCCATCTTCACTTATATTCCTCCCTATCTGTTACTTTTGGTGTTTCTATCTTTGTGTCACCATGATCATGACGATGATGGACATAAGGATGAAGGTAGAAAAAAAAAGAAAAGAATAATCAAATTTATCTATTATCATTTTCGGTGATGTGTTAACCTCTTTTCTTTGACACCCCTTGGTAACAACCTTTTGACTCATCGTTTTTTTGTTTCTCTTTTTCCTAATCTGATTCCTGATAAATCAATTGTCAGAATTGAATCTATGGAAAATTATCTTCTCTCAAGGTGTGGTTATTATCATTAATTTTCTAAATGTTCTGGTGTGACCAATGGTGATAAGTTTCCATCTTCTAAAGCGAATTGATAACATTAGATGAATTTTTCTTTTGTTCTTCCAATGGTTTTGAATGTGATTCCAAATCGATATGATGATTGGTGTGAGTGTTAATCAAGTGGAAAGTCAATTTGTTCTTGTTTTTTTTACCCAACTGATTCTCATGTTAAAGATTCAGATGAGATTATCGACAAGATAGGAATCAATCACGTTCTTTGGTTTTTTATTAATATTCTACTTTGTTGATAAGAATATTCTTTCAACTTGGTTTTCTATTGTATGTGTGAATCTCCAGGATGTGTAATTTTCCTTTGGCAGTTGTTTTTTTATTTTCTACAATTCAACAATGGATGACAAGGAGAAGAGAAATGAAGGACCCAGAAAGAGGACAAAAATGGATGGAGATCATATGATGGAAAAAGAAGAGAGAAGAACAAATAATGATGATGGAGACAAAAAGAGAAAAATTAAACTTTAAGATGGAACCAAGAGAATTTCAAGTTTCAATGGTTTCTCTCTCTCTCTCTCTCTCTCTCACTCACTCACTTTATCTTCTTCCATTCAATCCACCACCAAATATCCATGACATGATGATTATTTCTTCATCTTTCTTTCAACCCGGTGCACCATCTTCATCTTTAGAAAATCATCTCTGGCGATGGGAGAAAATTTTTTTTCCATCAACAGAATAATCAACTCAAGCTCAGGAAAATCTATTCTTCTTTTAATATTTTCCTTTTCTTTTCCATGGTAAAGACAAATTAGAATGATTATCGATTGAGACTGATTTGGAATCTTCTGTTTGTGTCAGAGTCACGTCAGTATATTCAGTTGAATAACATAATGGAATGAGAATTGAGATAATTCAACATGTTTATTTATCTGTTTTTTCATCTTCTCTTGTTTATCATTCACTGTTTTCTCTGGTTCCGAAATAATCAAGGTAATCTAGTGAAAATCCATGGAAATGATTCTCTAATAACCGTCCAAAAATAGAGAAGACAAAATGCTAAAGAGTATTGATTATATCCAACCGAATTATAATCATTTACTCTTACCATTGTGACTATCAGACAATTAACCAAAAATAGACTTTAAGAGTTAATTGTTTGAACAACATGTTGATATTATTATTATTTTCCTCAGTCTTTTGTCAACGTTTCATCAAAAGAATTGATTAACTTTCATCTTCTTTCATTACTAATCAAAGATTTCATGGAAAATCATTTGATTGTAAGATTAGATGAAATTATAATCATAATTTATTTCACTTTCTTCTCAAAAGTCACTACAATAATAAAGCTTTTGGATCAATTATTATCATCATAAGGTTAGTTAATTTTCTTGATAAATTATTAATATAATTTCAACTCATTCTAATCCATTGTTTTTTTTATTACAGCCTCATTTTCATCATAATAACAATCAAAATGATAATTGTTGATGAGGAAACATCGGAATCGTCAAGAGAAGGAGAAAAGAAAAAGACAAAAGAGGAAGTTGGAAATACTCAGTATGGAATATGAAGTTTATCCTTACGACAAGAGGGAGAGAGAGAAAATTAGAATGGATTGATGGAAGCAGAAAGAAGATGAAGAAATTATCATCCATTCCCTTGGAAATAATGGAGTGAATTCCTAGAATGAGATGAAGGCGAAATCAGATTCACCAGCGATCCCAAAGTTCATTTCCTTGAAACAAAAGGAAAAGTGTTGTATGTCAATAGATGAAGAAGAAGATGAGGATGGAGATAAAGAAAAGTTAGAAATAACATCATCTACAAGCAAACAGAGATTCTGTTTATCTTTACCTTTACTCTGATTCTTTTCTCATTTTCTTCAGGAAGATGATGATTAAGATGATGGAAGATGAATAGGAAACCTCGTTAGTATTCAATATGTTCACTGACTATTGGTTAGAATAGGAATTTACATGATATGAATAACCTTGTCATCTCTGGTATTTTTATCAACTCACTTTGAATATCGTTTTTCATATAAATATTCATACTTTTTATGCTAATCTAATTCCTAGAACTCAACGTTTTCCTTTTTCCTCTTCATCATCATCATCATCATCATCAGAAATTAAGCCTGTCATAATTAGTTAATCACTGGTTTATTTTTTTCTTCTTCATATAAACTAAACCCAAATACTATTTACTTATTCATTAACCAAAATAACTCATTTTTTCATTTACTATCATTTTAAATAATATTAACATGGAAACTGATAAATTGTTGGAATATGATTTAGTTACAATTAGTTAGGAAAATAATCCAAATCAATTTTTATTTCCTTTGGAATTTTGTTTTCCATTTGATTGTTTTTATTTCCAAATCAATTTCAAAGTTCCAATTATTCTCAGGTTACTGAATCTATTCTGAATTTTCAAATTCTACATGGATAATGTTTCATATTCTGTTTTTTTTATTCTTTTAATTCCTTCATTATTTGTTCAATCAAAGATTGACTTGATTTCTATTCTGTAGATTCTCTGGTTAATTTGATGATTTTGTGGTTGCGATTTCAGGGAAAATCCTGAGGATGATTATCGTGATTCTCATGATGATGATGTTCCAAAGATCCAGTGAAAGTCATGGTGGTTACATGTTCATCTTTATCATCATCATCAGCAAAATAAAAGATGATGAAAACAAAAGACCTAAATTATTATGTCTCTAATCTGATGATATCATGAAAATGTAATCAGGTAACCGAAATGATGGTGAATCATGAGTAGGAAGATTGTGATGGAAAATAATGTTAATCGTTGAAATTGATTGAATTTCGAATTTAATTTAATTCCAAATTGGACTAACAATTCAAGTCCATCGTCATCAGAGATGAACAACAATTGAAGAAACAATTTATTGGATTAAAAAGGATATAAATTAGCAGAGAATTGCTTGATTGTAGAGAATCAATAATCACGAGAAAAGAATCAAGTTAATTGTGATTAACCAAAATTCTTTATAAACTTTTTGACAATTTAACAATCCAAACAATTGGAACGAACTTAAATTTTTAGGATTTCGATCAACTAAATCAATCAATTTCCACTATTTTGACATTCATCTGATTGATTGTGAATTTAAATTGATCAAGTTGACAATCAACACTTGGACCAATTTATTGTTTGGTCATCAAATTGTTAACCTAATTGTTTGAAATGAGAAAATCGTCAATTTTGTCTTGAGGACGAAATTTAGATTATCAATAATTTGCTAATCTTTGGATTAGAAATTAAAAGAAACTGATTAATTGTGAATCTTCATCAACGGATTAATTTAATCCTTAATTGCTAAAGAGAAACAAAAGAAAAGTAAATGATAAGTTTTCCCAATTGTGATGATTAAATGTTGTTCAATACAATTGATGATCAAGATTATCTATCGCTCTCAGATTATCAACTAATCCATTAAATTGTCAACATAAAACAATCAACTAAATGTAAATTGTTAACCATTAACTATGAATAAATTGTTAACATGATATTTACAAATGTCGACTGACAATTTGATAAATTGTCTTTGTCTCAATGAAAAACATTAAATCATCATGACGATCAAGTTAACAATATCACATTTGAATTTATAAAATCTCATGATAATGATGATAAACATCATGAGAATTGGAATGAATTTATTATTATGAACCGAAAAAAAGAAAAAAAATTTAGAATTTGAAACTTTGAACATTCGCGCGCTTCTTTTCCCGGTCATCATTTTAATCTCACTTTTCAAAGTCTGTTCTTTATTATCAACACAATTAATTAACTGTTTTCTATTCTAATTAATTTAATGGTTGGTTAAATCAACAAATTCTTGTGATGTTCTCTCAATACCAAAGGATCAGACGAAGAGATTATCTTCCATGACTCTAGTTGATTGGAGATTAACTCGTTACATGTTAGGCCTTTGATTTGTTTCTCGCTCTTTAATCAAAGTTAATTGTAATCGATTATGAGATCATCTTTCTAATTGTTTCATGTTCCATCTTAATCCTGTCAATTTTAACAGTTAATCTCTTTGGGTTTTGCCTCTGTGTCTCACCAACAAATTGCAACTTCAAACATCAGCCTTTTCTATACCATCGTTTAAATATTCACAACATTTAATGGCTTTCTTTTTACACCATCGCCATTTTGTTTTTTTTTATTCTTTTCTCTAACTTATTGATACCTTATTATTAGGTAAGAGAAAATGTTTTAACATTTTCAAGTTACACTTTCCCATCATCATCATCATCATCTATCCCTTCAAGGCTCTCAATCTAATGTTTATATCATCCTTTTGTTAACGTTTTTATTTTTACCTTTATTACAAGTATAACCATCATCATTATTATCCTTCATCATCATCAACCTTTCAAATATCAACATCATCATCATCTTCATCCTCATCAACAATAAATGATGTTTCATAAGCGACAAATCTTGATATTTACAGAGACTCTCCAACTGATTTACCAGTGGTTTCGTCTCTCTACTGTATTAACTTGTGATTCCATTATTATGACCTGAAGCAATTGAGACTCTGTGTATTTTATGTACACCATTTTGTTTCAATTAACATCAAATCATCCTCTTGATAATCTTCTTAATAATTTGTATTGAACTTGAGTTTTGGTGGTGAGAGAGAAAGAGGATGTCACTCAAATCTAGTGTATCTTCAAATCACCTGAGATTCTGATCGTTGATGTTGATGTTTGAACTTTGATTTTCTTGAGATTTTTATGTTTCCTTTTTTTTCCACTCGTAATTTATATGGTAAATTGTTTTATTTGATTACCATCATTGATGTTGAGTTAATTGTTCCTTCTTGTTTTCTGTTCTTATAAAAACAATAGATGTCATGAAAATAAACATTTACCTCTCTCTCAGGTTAAATTGTATTAAGTAAACAAAATGTCTAAAAGTGATAAACAAAAGGTAAGAAATTAAGTTTAAGAGGAAAGAAAAAATTTCATTAAGATGAATCAACAACTAATTAAATTAAATTTAGATCATTGTTTTTGTTTATCTTTTCTTTTCTCCATGTCATTTGCTCAATTCTGTTAATTGAAAAGATCATGGGAATAAATCAAGTTAAACAATCAGAATTTAAAAATCATACTCACAGAAATAAAACAAAAAAGTTACTTAGCTTAACTTTGATGATAAATGATTAACAGATGAACTAGAAACATCTAGTACATGTAATTGTTGAAGTAAACAATTGAGAAATTAGGTTGATTAATCTGAATACTAGTTAATTCAATCCAAGTGAATTTTGATAACCATAAAAAAGTAATCAAATATTATGATTAACTCAGAAAGAGAGAGAGAGAGAGAGAAAGGTTAATAAGTCAAAGGGTAAAATCCAATGTTAATTGTAGACCAACTGGGAAATTACTTTGATTTTTTCCTCTCCTTTATCGTTGATACGTTGATTGCTTATAAATCGACAATTAATGTTAATTTGGTTCATTTTTCTCTCCATTAAATATTGATTATCATCTTTCTTGTTATATTTTCCTCCAACAGGCAATCGGATGTATGGGTGCTAATCGCATGAATGAACGTCTTCTGGGACTTTATTGGCAAATATTATTAGTTTTACTAATTGGAGATATTGTTGTTGGAACAATTTGGCTCTTCCGTTATAATTTATTATTAACTAATCTACGATCTGATCTCATTTATCGACTTGACAATGATTATGGCTTTGATACAGATTTCCAGGTAAAGAAACAAACACCTTCCTATATAAATGAAAACAAGAGAATAGAATTAGTTAAATTTGTATAAAAAAGGAAACAATTACTTATACATGTTGTCCAGTATAATTGTTACAAATAGAAGAAGGGAAAACAGTCCAACAATTAGTTGAATTTATCTCAATTGAGTAAATAATTAAGTAAATATATTGTTTTGTTTGTTTTTCCCAATTGGTTGTTTCCTAAAAATCATTGAGTAAATTAATTTGTTGAAGGAAAACATAGTAACACTAATGTTAATTAACTTAATTACAATTTGATTGATGAAAAGGTTAACATATTGTTGTTGCTATTAGTTGAAAATTAAACAAAATTTAATCATGAAAGTGAAAAGAAAGAGAAAAGTTAACCAATTAAAACAACAATCAATTAACAAATGAGAGGGAAAACAAATGAAAATGAAACAATAAAACTAAAAGAGAAAACAACAAATGAAAAGAAAGAGAAAAAGAAAGAGTAACCATGGAAACAGTTGATTGGATGAATTGGTCACCAAGGGATTGGAGAAAAAGTGAAAACGAAAATTGTTGTTCAATTGTAATTAACTTTTCCTTTAATTTATTCGTAATTTAAATTTTTTATTATTATTTTCTGTTAATTACATGATTGATAATCGAATTGTGATGCTTTTGTGTTTCAGGAACTTTGGGATCGAGTACAAAGTGAACATCAATGTTGTGGTATTGATACGCCTTATGATTACAATGTGACCCAATGGTTTGAACGGGAACATGCAACTTATGAAGGATCACCGTTTCTTGTGCCACAATCGTGTTGTGCCTATCACCAATTCCCGTTAATTGAAACAATCGATGGTTCCAGAGGAGTAGATGAAGGATTAGGTAACAATAATGGAATTGGAACAAGTCCTAGTGCCATAAGTGATGTAACAATTAGTAAAGAAGAGATTGATTCAAGGTCTTCTACATCCAAATCTTTACAAGACAATGGTGATACTAATGCTATCGGTGGTGGTGGTGGTGGTGGTGGTGGTATAAGAGGTAGAGGTAGAGGTGGAGGTGGAAATGGTGGTGATTCATTTTTAACTTCTAGGACCACAAGTGCTGATTGTATGGATAGTTATAGACCCGAAAATATTTATACCAATGGTTGCTATGCCCAGATACTTGAATGGTTACAATCAAGTGTCGATTGCCTTTCGGTTTGTGGATTTTGTGTGATAACTTTTCTTAAATTGTGTTTCGCTTTCATCTTACGTTATGAGATTCGTGAGATGATACAGAAAATTAATTTAATTAAAGGCGATAAAGAGAGAAATGATTCAACTGCCCTTCAAAATTTAGAGGCTTATCTTCCAAGGCCGTCCATTCAGCCTGATCAACCTCTTCTCTCCAATCAATCACCTCACAGCCAAAGTAATAATACTAATAATAACACTACGAATATTAATATTGATAATAGTAATTCTAATTCTAATCCTAATCCTACTAATAATAATACTAATTCTAATAATGTTAATAATTCAAATATTACTATTACCGCCAATAAGCGTAATCGCATCTCTACAACTAATCAATCTTCATTTAATAGTTCAATTGGAAGTTATGTAAGCTGTGGTGGTGGTGATTCTACAACAATTAACATACCAAGTCGACAATCACCTCAATCAATTGGTACCCTTGGTATCACATTTTCATCTTCATTAACAACATCACCTCCAACCAATAGATTGATTATCTCAACAACAACAACAACAACAACAACAACGGTAACAACATCAACATCAACATCAAAATCACCAATGTTAATTAGTAAATCAACTAATAAACAGTCAACTATTGTTTCTACAACAAAAACATCACCAACATCACCAGTAACCTTAATTACAACGGTAACTAATTGTTCATCTGGAGCTGCGACTAATATTTTACCACCAACTTCATCATCAATTGTTAATCCATCACAATTGCTTGGATTAATTAGTTTACCAATAACTGGTGATAATAAATCTAATAATAACAAAAGCAAGTCTTTCAATAATAGTAATAATAATAATACTAATCAAGTTGTGGTGACCAATTTTTGATTAACACACTTTTCCCACAATTAGTTAATAATATTCAACAACGAAAAATGGATTTTCATAATTATCAGCTAACAGCAACTTGCATTTAATTGTTACCGTGACAATTTCAATTCAACTTGTTCAATTATTGTTATTTAATCAACTATTTGGGATGGAAATCAATTAAATCAATCCCTGTTTGGTGAAAGAGAGATTGAGAGAGTGAGAGAGAAAACAAAATTAACACTATCATAATTGTGAATGATTTTTTCTCCATCATATTAATTGTCTTCCTTTAATCAAATTGATGAAAGATGAAAAAACCAAGGAAAAAGTGTTGACGACAATTAATTATTTCCAAGAGGAAACAATCAATCGATGTTAATTGGCGACGATGGAGATGATTAAGGATCGACTTTGTTTTTTTATGGTTGGATAATCAAGTTACAATTTAAATTAATCAACTAACGGAATCAATTGATTATTACCAGTGATTGTTAACAAACTCATTCTCTCCCTTGTTTAATTAAATTTTTTATCATGAAATCATTTTGTATAAATTGTAGAGCAAATTAAGAAAAATTGAAAACTAATTCTAGCTCATTGTATTATTCAAATGTTAATTAACAAGCCTAAAGCCTTTGAACCATTTAATTCAAAGGATGATTGAAAAAAAATCAATAAATTTACGATGACAATTAAACTTACTGATTTACCTTTTCATTCAAACTTAACAGATAACTTTTGGTAAGATAATTAATGTAGTTGCTCAAAAGTGTCACACTTGACAAGATTTGATGGTGAGCATTACCTTACTAATTACATCTTACTAGTTAATTGATTAATTAGTAAATCTCTCTCTCTCTCTCTCTCTCAGTGGCCGATGAAAAGTCTTCCGGTTCCATGAACAGCATCACAACAATTTACCTGTAAAGTGAATTAACTATTGGTAGAGATAAACTTTTCTCCATACAAACATAAACAAACGCATCATCGTCAAACCCGGAATTGCTATTGATCTTCATCTTCATCTTCATCTTCATCTTCATCTTCATCATCCTCATCTTCTTGTTCAACTATTCAGGTGAATGTAAAGAGTAGTTGATTTGATTTGATTCCTTTAATTGCTGAACAAGAACAACACAAAATAACTGAATCACCTCTTTCATTGCGACCTTTGCATCTATCATAAGTAATAGAGTTTTTCTCTCTCTCCTTCTCTCCCTCACTCTCTCATTATCTCCATCATCAGATTAAACACCATCATCATCGAATTGATAATCGGTATCAAATACAAATTCATCATTTACCTTTAGGAATCGTTTGTTTATCTTTGGGTGCCTTTTGTTTTCGCGTGAAAATGAGTGTCCATTTATCGTGTTCATCATCAAATTTGATGATTTTCATGTTAACATTATTTTCGGTTGTTAATTTAATCGGTGCCAATTCTAAATTAATTCCTGGTAAATCTCGAGAAACAATTAAATTGTCATCGTCCGTTTCTCCATCTTCAACATCGTCATCTTCCCTTTCGGCCGATGAACGGGTTCTCTTAAGTCAATCACACATGCAATTCACCTTTGACCTGATGTCGTCCATCGTAATGACCGAAGCTTATAATCCCAATTCAAAGCTATTACAATCAATTGTTTTCTCACCTTTAAGTATCCAATCAATTCTGATGATGGTTCATCTCGGTGTCAAGGGTCGCACTCGAGCTGAAATCGCTTCCGCCCTTCATTTGGACAATTTCCTCACCTCCAACGGGATTAATACAGTTAACGGTTCATTCATAAGGACTCATCAAATTTTCGGGGAATCAGTTAATTCACTTCTAGATGACGATGAGATAATTAAATACTTTTCTATGGCTAATCAAATTTTCATCAACAAAGATCTAAATGTCAACACTAATTACAAAAAAGCTTTACAACATTATCATGATGCGACTTTACAATCAATAGATTTCAATTCCAATGGTGTGGTTGATGTAAGTTCACCATGATAATCAAATCAAATCAATTAATCAACTTAACTTTGACTGCAATTTTGTCACCAAATGATTTGGAAACACAACAACGTTGATTATTGAGGAAATCATGTTATTGTTGATTGATTGTTGTGATTGAGTTTTTTTCTCTCTCTTGATTGTTAAACTTTCTTTTTCTTTTTAATTGCAGAAAATTAATGATTGGGTCACCAAAACAACTAAAGGAGCAATTAAAAAGTTTCTCAGTTCACCAATATCTCCATCAACAGCTCTCGTTGCATTGAACGCGCTCAGTTTCAGAGGTGATTGGTTATATAAATTTGACGAACAGGAAACTCAGAAAAATTCATTATTCCAATTAACTAATGGACAGAATGTGAGAGTCTCCATGATGGTCGGTAAACTACCGATCGCATTTGGGGAAATTAACGATGGCCGATTAAAAGCATCGATCATTGAGCTTCCATACAAAACTCAACGATTAGGACTGTTCATGGTTCTGCCGTTGGAAGATTCACCGAACGCCCTTTTCAACCTAATGAGGTCACTTAATTCAACGAGTTTCACCCAATTAATTGCTTCCATGAAGAAAAGCAAGAAAGGCGATGAGGTTAATGTACGAATTCCCAAGTTCGACATATCGTCCAAGCCCGATTTAACTACGATTCTCCGTTATTCTCTTGGTCTAAGATCAGTTTTCTCGGGAGGCGAAGCCGATTTCACTTCCATGTTTGATAATTCATCTTCTTCTTCTTCTTCCTCTTCATCATCCACATCATCATTATCGCCAATATCGTTGAGTCAGTTCACTCATCAAGCCGTCATGTCGATCGATGAAAATGGTTCAATCGCCGGAGCCGCAAGTGCCACTTTAGTTGAACGGGTCGGACTTTTCAATGGACCTTATTTCGAGGCCGATCGACCTTTCATTTTTTTCCTTACCGATAAACAATCAGGTCTAATTTTGTTTGCTGGCATTTTTGCCTCACCAAATTAATCAATCATTCATCACCTGACAATTAACTTATCGCCATTCATATTCATGAAATTCATTATCATCCCATGAAAATTATATAATATCTGATCTCACCTTTTCTTCATGGTTTCTCCTTGCTGATTAAAAGACAATTTAATTAATCGTCTTAATCCTTGATCATAATTTATTCACATGAAATTATCACTTAAACGCTTCATCATGATTGTAATTAAATGAAGCTGGGAAATCTTAATTGTTGTTAAAACTATTAATTATCTAAGAGAAATATATATTCATGAGATTATCATTTCTTTCATCACTAAATCATTGGATTATTGTTAAAAATATGTTTGATTTAGATGAAAATTAAACAAATTAAAATGAAATTTATTTTTAGCTGGAAAAATATTTAATTCAACAAAAATAATGATAATCATAATTAACTACAAGGTTATTAGGTTATCAAATTAAAGGTTAGATTAATATACCTTTAGACTCAATTTGATTAACGGTCCAACTGATCAGTCAGATTAAAGGTTGAGTTGCCTCTTAATTGTGGCTAAATTGCTGCATTTAAATGACAGAAATGTTAGTTAATTTGTTTGTTTTTATAAATCATCAAGTCACCGACCTGGTCCAGTCTGAGAAGAGCAAGAAAACCAAAACCTAACAGGATCCAAATTAAATCATCTTAAATGGTCACTGATTAACTTGATTAACCAACATTAGAGTAGTTTAATTGAACACAATCAAGTTTAGATTGATCAAGATTAATTACAAGTTGGTCGACGATAGATTTTGTTTTTGTTTTCTTTCAGTTAATCAACACAATTTTCATCTTAATTCAGTTCAGTTTATTTATAATCTAATTTGAAATTCACATTATGTTGACCAATCAAATGATGACCGGTAAATGTTATCATTACATTGTCATTGTTTTATTGATTGTTTTGTCTTCCAATTGTGTTAATACACTTGATCTTGGTGAGATTCTGATTCCTGGACAACAATCAATTCTGTTCATGGAGCAAGATTTATCATTGGAACATCGGAAACATGATAATTGGAGGATTATCTCAGTTCATCTTAAATCTAAATCAATTTCATCTTCGACAACGATAACATTTGGAGGTTCCAGTTATCCATCTTGGTTCCGATCGATCGATAAGTGTCTCAAATGGTTTAATTACTTTGATACCAATCAAGTTCTACAATTAATTGAATCCAATACAACAATTAAGTTCATCCCAACGGAGACAATGAATCAACTCTACAGTGCTTGTGATCTATCTGAACGGATTAAAGGTTCATCAGTCAATTCAATCAATCGAAATGATCAAGAATCTCCTTTACTGGTCAATGGTCAGTTAGATGAAACTGATCGAGAAAAAGTTGATAGATTGTTGAAAGAGAAATCGAAACAATTTAAAAAAGTTTTAATTCGTTTCCATTACAATGAAGATGATGTTAATTCTGAGGTAAAACCACTCGAAGGTATAATTGTTAATATTTTACCTGGAATCGAATCTAATTTAACTAAATCAAATCAAAGTGACCAATTAACGATTGATTATTGCAGAATTTATGATAAAATTAATGTAGAAAAATATTTAACCATCAATCCGAAAACACCAACAATTAACTTAGAATCAAGGTTTATAGAGATTGTATCAACTCTATGTCGAGATGCTTTAGATTTGATTAACGTGCAAGAAAATTTATTCAACGATCTAATTGTTGGCCAACAATTAAAGGAAATTAATTTTCTCGAAGTTGATAATGAAAGTTGGAAATCAAGAGGAACTCGTAACTTTTTAATTCGTCTCCATACCAGATCAAAAGCTCGTCCATTTAAATGGTTAATCAACAAACCCGATTATCTATCCCAATGGAGTTTAATTGTTGATCATTGTGACATTTTCTCAAATCCTGATTTAGTTGATTTATTAACAGTGAAAGAAACTTCATCAACTAATCATAACAATCAACTGATTGATCGACCAACAATCAAATATCTTCTCAATACCTGTGATTATGTTAATATTTATCAGTAGTTAAATCAACAGTTGATGTAATCATTTTGTTGATTGTTGATGGGAAAAGTTAATCATAAATTGTTGCCAATTAATTGCTGAGATGATGATTTCTCTGTTAAACAAATTAAATTGTAATTCCTTGAGTTTGTCCTTGATTATCAAGATTCACTTGTAACTTTTTATCGTCATCAATTATCTTAGAGATTTAATTTATCTCTCATTCAATTAATTAAAGTTAATTGTAAATAAAACGATGACGAGTATTTTGATTGAGATTGTGATTAATTCAAGGATAACTTGAATAAAGAGTAAATCACAAGCACATGATTTAGAAACAATTCTTGATAGTTGATTGTCAATAGTTGTGATTAGTTGATTGTTTTTCTCGGGATAGATGAACATTATCAAAAAGTTTATAATAAAGTTTTTAACAACAATTAATTAGATAAATTGTTATTAATATTGATAAAAGAATATAATTGAATCAACCTCAGAACTCTTTGTATAATAATCAGAAATGACAATAACAATTATAAGATAATTGTTATCAATTAAGGACAAAAGGTGAACACAAGGGTAACACATAAGGAGGATAAATTGTTGATGATTAAAGAGGAAAAGAAAATAATTATAACAATAACAATAATAATAATTAACAGTGGGAATAGTTAATAAGTGATGATAATAACAAATTCGTTGTATCTTTTTGATTGTTTCTGCCAACCGATTTAAGTACAATTTGAATCGTAGAGACAATCTAATAATGTACCAATGGTCCAGGCTTGAGTATGACAACTATCTGGACAATGGTCACCATTAGAATTGGTTAACTCTGGAAGACCAAACCATGGATTTGACTCGATGGCACAATAGTGTTTCGATAAAATTTTCAACAATTTAACAATTATAATATTCTTATCATTTGTAAATGAGTAACTGGCACGTAAGAAATAGCCCATTGGCCAGAGCCATTCTGGACCTTGATGATAATTAAAACCATGAGCAACTTTCGGATCATCTGAATCGTTTGAATTAAAATAATCTCCTCGGTAATTCCAATCACTTGGATCAAGAGTTTTAATTCCAAGGGGACCAACAAGCGTCTCTTCAACTAATTTCAGAGCTTTTTGAGCTTTTTCTGGTGTGAACATTTCAGGGGCCACTGTCATGGCGACCAAAAAGTTGGGTCGGAATTGGAAATCTTGCCATTTTTGTGTTGCTCCAAATGAATCTTTGTAAATCTCCCGACGATTAACCAATGGATCTTGTGAATCGGGTGACACCCAAAAGTGAGGTTCAAAATTTGCATGTATCCTATCAGCCCACTCTTTCCAAGTCCAACTTGCACCAAGAGAGGTGACAGATTGATGAGGATATTTACCCAATTCCCACATCTCAGCTAACCAAGTGATAACTGATTTACTAAGTCCAACCAGTTCAACGGCTGAACCATCACGAGGTGTTGCTGGTTTACCCCGATTTCCCGCTTTATCGGATGAGCCCATTTTGTCCATCCAAGTACCACAGTTCCATTCATTTCCACCATAGACAAATCCCGTCTCTTTGTTAACACCCACTCGAACATTAAAACCTTCATCGGTCATATGAGCATCAATATTGGTTCCAGCATCTCTTTCTCGGAATTCAATGCCCTCAAAGTGTCGATTAAGAGCTTCTTGCATAACCTCATGAAGAGGTTGAGTAGAATCACCGGTTAACACCGCAACAGAATCATCGGTAGGGAAAATTCGTCGAACTGGTTCATTCATAATTACATGACCATTTGGAACAATTTTAGAATAATCTTTGATGGCTTGAAGCCACCACCAAACTGCATCTCGACAATTATAACGAGCGTTTGTTGCTTTATCTAAGAGATTAGGAATCAAACCATGTCTAAGAACTCCAGCAAATCCTAAGATTATGTATCGAGCTTCATCAAAACGACCAGGAATCAAAAGACATCCTCGAATGGCGATAAAAGTATCACGACCCCAGTTTCGCATGTAACCTGATACAAAATGTGGTAAACCAGCAGCAATAGTTGGAGCTCGAGGTCGGGGAATACCACCGATAGTGATAACTGGTGGTTTGGGTTCAGAAATATCATCAGCAAGAGGTGGAAGTGCTGAAGTTTGATTAAAGCCAACCAAAGATAAGCTTCCAAAGATAAGTGCTCTTGTAAATCCATTAGGATTGACAACAGTTTCGGCTAACACATTCCAGCATCTTTGTACTGATGCTGAGTAAATGGGTGTGATGATACCGTCAAAATAACGGGGTCTCAAATAAACAGGTACATCTTTCAAAGTGTCAAAAGCTTTTTTCAACCAATTAGACAATTCAACAGTAGATTGACGTTTGGATAAACGATTAACAATATAATCAGGTAACCAAAGACCATCTCGAAGGTTATTGCAGATTGGATGTCCAAGGTCGTTCTTAGTCCTGATATCTTTCCAGTAATACATAAGACCTAAGAAGAAAAAAAAAGAGAATGTGATAACTTGTTATCCCTGAAATTTTATCTATTTCCCTTTTATCTCTCTCATGATAAAATTGTTACAATTTTACATAAGATTTATGAGAATCATTAAGTATATTATACCTGCAAGGCCACAGTAAATTAGATTGGTAAAAGCAGGAATATTGTAAACACCACCACCGAATTCGTCCTTTTCTTCTTGATCCGTTCGGAAGAGTATGAAATTAAGATCATCCAAAGTGAAACTCGCAAATAGTAAAGCTAATTCATCTTTACAATGAGCCAATCGTTTCAATGAATTTAAAGCGTTAATATGTTTAGCCTCTAATGAGACATCAAAACAAATGACAGATCCAGGAGAGAATTGATTAAATTCAATCTTATTGTTTCCATCTTTAGATTCAACTCGAACCATATCACTTTCGGTAAGTTTAATATCTTGACGAACGGCGGCCTTCATGTTTTTCAGGCCATTAATGTAATGAGAGGCTTTATGAAACTCTTCATAGTCTCCAACTAATTTACCTTCAAAGATAATCTTGTTAAAATGACCAGCAACTTGTAATGGTTTAATGTACCCTGTTTCCCATGGTTTATCTGGTTTATGGAAACAAGTTCGAGCAACTAGAATAATTGATTTGTGAGTATCTGGATTGTGTCGGGTAAGAGCAACAACATCATAATTAACTTGATCAACAAAAAGCTCAGAATAACCTTCAATAGCAAGTTTCTTGTGTAATTCATTGAGAACCTTTTTAGCATGAGTTATACCATCGGAATAAGAAACGTGCTCATGTCCAGGAGAATCGGACCAAAATGCCCATGGACGCCATTCGTTGACAACGTGAATATGATGGGGTACAAGTTCATCATAACCCCGACTAGAGCCGATAGCGGATGCAGACATGGCCACCATACTGGCCGAAGCAAGATAATCAAAAAGTGAACGTTTATCGATTGGACATTCATTGTCATGGGTCATGTCAAACATGATCGCATGAGACATTGAAGGTATTAGAGGGGTTGGATTGATTTTCTCAAAAGCTCCGACAGGTTCACCGCCATAACGGTGAATAAACCGACCAAGTTCATGTGAATCTGGGGCAGCAAGAGATTCACGTATTAAAGAGTTGATTCCAAGACGATTAACAAACAGATTATCCGTCTCTTCAGATGAGGTAAAAAGCTCAGCGATTACGTAAAGATTTGGTCTGATCTTTCGAGCAGCGTCCAACATGTACTCGGCAACGTGTAAAGGTGTCGAATGGCAGTTATCTAATCGAACACCATGAAAAATTCGAGCAGTTTCTTCAATGTAACTTTTCATGTGATTCCAAAGGAAAGGACAATCTTCATAACATTCACCGAAACGAAGTTTAACCGAATCACCCCAGGCAATAAGTTCTCGTCTCAGATATACAAATGAATCGGGAGCGGCAAAATTTCTCAATGGATCGTAGCCCATGACCCAACCATTGTGGGCAAAAAAGTAAGAACAATACTTATCATCATACATTGCTTTCTCTTCTTCTTCCAGAGTTGCCCTTTCAGGCCCGTAAGTAGTAAAATATGGCGTTAAAAGTGGATCAGTTCGAGAGACGAATCGTTTCCTTGGACCTTGTGGGTCGAGTCTTTCATATCGAATCTGAGCAATTGCATTGGTAACAGCGGCCTGAATATGACCATGTATTTGCTTTCTAATTCCTTCATTAAGCTCCTCTGCTTTGGGCTTTAAAAGAGCGGCTCTTTCTTCAACAAGATCTTTTGTGATGGCACTTCGACTGACATCCCAAGCGACCATATTTAAAGAGGTATGAACCTCGAAACGTGATCTTAATCGACGATACTTTGGATCTTGGATAACGTTTAGCTTTGTAACAGGTTCGGGAGTTTTTTGAGGATAAACTGTACATTGTGCAATTTGAATTAGACAATGTTTAAGATCCTCAGCAACACGTTCAGGTCCAATCAGGTAAAACTCTTCGATGTTAAGTAATGGAAGATAATGTTCCCAAATGATTTTCTCAATAATTCTTAAATCATTTTCACTGTTAACTTCACTTGTAAGTCCTTCATCAGTCCATTTACCGTTAATAATGTCTAATGAAAGATGCCAAAACATACGATCCAATAGGTAAGCAGGTCTAAGATGAGGTGAATTTTTTAAATTGTAACAACATTCTGGATGTTCAAATATCCATGGGCTCTCATTGGCAGTGTGATTTAAAACGATATCGGTAATTGATAACATTGACCACTCTTTTCTCATGTATTCAACAAGATTAGCTACATGTTCAAAATTATGTTCCGGGTTTTGTTGATTGTGACTGAATTTTGGATTCAAGGTGAGTTGATCTTTGATTGAATAAGCTGATTGAGAAGCACCAAGTGATTGAATCGGTGTAAAATGTATCATATTGTATCCACACTTATTTGCCACTAAAAGTCGTCCTTGCCAAGTTTCAAAGGTACCCAATAGTTTACTTAAAACGGTTTGACAAACAATTGAATCTAATCGGATTTTCTCATTCTCTTTACCCACTTCGAGAATTGGTTCAACCAAAATGTAACCATTACAATTTATCTGTGCATCATCCTCTTCATCTTCAGCGATAATAAAATATTTATACGATCCTGGTACAGTGAATTTCAGGCTTACATAGGAACTTGAGTCTTCAGGATCTTCAATCCATCGATGATGTCGAAATTTTAATCGTGAGAATGTCACATTGTCTTCCGGATAATTTGAATAAAGCCTTGTGTGTCGGCCCAGTAGACTAGGTCCTAGACAAAATTTGATGACCGTTCCTATTGATGGAAAAGAAAAACACAAAATAGAACATAGAAAAAAAATTGAGCAGAAGAACCAACGAAATTGAAAAGTATATAAGGTATCCAAATGGAGAATCACAAACACAATCATGATACAAGGTCATTGGAGCATAAAGAGAAGGTTAAAGATAATCCACCATGGAAATTGAGTCATTTAGACAAGATAATAAGATTGAAAGCAACGAAATTTCATCTCTTACCTTGAGAAACACGAAACAAAGTCCTCTCAAGATTTTGTGCAGCTTCAAGTCGTTTAATCTTGATTACGGGTTCATCGGTGTAAACCACAAGTGTTGGATCCATTTCGGGTGCAGGTAAAACTTTAGGAACCTTAAAAAATCGATTGATTATTGCACTAAGAGAGAAGAAGCGAAGAAAATCATCAATGACAATGGTGACAAAAAAAAGAAAAGAGAAAAAACCAAACACAGAGAATAGAAAATATTGAAAGAAAACACAACCACAAATAGAAAATCACCAACAATAATCAATATGGAAGAAAAAAGAATACACTAGATTTTCTCACAAATAGACAAGAAAAAGAAAGAATTAAATTAAATTAATTGTCTGTTGTGAGAAAAGAATCAAATTAAACTCTTGTTAATTTAGATAATTAATTGTTGACGAGAAAATTGATTCTGAAAATAAATTAACAAGAAAAGAAAACGAAAAAAAGAAAACAACTTACAGCGCCATCGCTCTCAGGCAGTCGAACATTTTTTTCCTCTCAACAGGAATTGTCTTCTTTTGTAACACTTGAATTGGGCACTTGAGCTAATCGACCGGTGCGAACCCACTGACAACAGATTCTTTCAGATTTTTCAACAGTTTTTGATTATCAAGAGTCTTTGGTTATCTTCAAGTCAACAATAAATCTTATCCTTATCTTGACCATCACTTTTTATACATCAAATGTTGACCTTTCACTTATGTTGTCACCTTTTCGTTGTCCAATCAATTTGAATTTCAATTGTGAGGGAACAATTTGTAAGTAATTTAATCTTTACTCTTTCCCTCTTTTCTCCCTTGAGAGGAAATTATTTTTCTCTTTCTTTTCTTGTGTTTTTCTTTTTTTCAAATTTATTCTCTTTTTTTTTGTTCTTTTTCTTCATCTCCCCATTTACCATGATTGTCAACGAGTCAGATTGATTACACTCTCTTTAAATGGTAAAGATGAGAGACATTGGAAAGATGAAGAGGGAGAGAAAATAACAAAACAATTTCTCTTTGGCTAAAGAGAATTTCTATAATTTTCTATTCTATTCTATTTCATAATGGTCGCCATTTGTGTGTCATGTGTTGATGGCACTTTCTCATCTCGTGGACAAGGAAATAGAGACATTGTATCTGTATTGATTATGTGATTTCCTATCCGTTCACAATCAACTCACTCAAACAGATTGAAACAAATGTTAAGGAGCCTTAGGTAAACGTCAACAATTAAAAAAGCTAATCTAAGTGAAGTTAATATTACATGTGATTATCTTTTTCCTCGCGTAAAAAAAGGTTAATCGTATTAATTTATAGATTTGCCATTTAAATCATCCATTTTCTATGATTGTACTTGTTTGATTGATTCGATCTACTAAGATTGATTAAATTTCTTAGACAACAAATATTAGTGACGTTAATTAATATCTTTAGTTTTCCAATATTACCCAACATGTGATCACTACAACATCTCAATTGTTCACCAATTAACTTTAACAATTCAGACAAACAAAAAATCCGCTTACACATCCTAAAATCTTCAAGATCAGATTAACATTCAAATCTGATGAGAGATGAGAAAATCTGATTGATAATAATCTTAATTATCCAATTAATCAAAAAATTTAGTAACTTTTATTTACCGTTACTAGATTTTTCTTGAGTTTCTCTCTCAAAATCAATCATAAAATCAAACTGATATCATTGAATTCATTCATTTTTCATAGTTATTAACTAATCTCCCAGATTTAGATAATCGATTCATGAGAAATTCAAACTGATTAATTAATTTCTGGAAGGAAAATACGATAAAAAGTTCATTTTCTAATTGAAAGATGGAGACACAGTTGGAACATTTTTTGTTCTTTTTTGAGAATTTTTTTCTCTTCCATTTATTGAGAGAGAACTTCTCTTTCTGTTATCTGCTTTAAAGAAAACAGGATTTTCTTTTTTAACATTTATCTCTTTTTTTCTCTTTCGATCTCATCATCAAACGGATACTTCCTTTTTCTGATAACCCATATCAAAACCTCCGAAACAACAACAACAACTTCAACATAGACAACATGATGGACCTGAGAGCTGATTTTTACCAAGTTGAATTCAACCGGACAATTTGGGAGATTCCAGTTAAATATACTAAATTGTCACCAATCGGATCGGGAGCCTATGGTCAAGTTTGGTAAGTTTTGGATTAACATTTACCAATCTCGTTCTATAAGTTGATATATTTATCCATCTTTATTTATTGTTAATTCTCATTGATTGATTGATTTTTTTTTCTCTTCTGTGTTTTTGTTTTAATCTCTTTTTTTTACAGTTCAGCTGATGATTTATCTTTTAGTCGGCGAGTGGCTATTAAAAAGCTCGCTCGTCCTTTTCAATCTGCGATCCATGCCAAACGTACCTATCGGGAATTTAAATTACTTAAACACATGGAACATGAAAATGTGATCGGACTTTTAGATGCTTTTACACCAACAACTACTTTTGACAAATTTCAGGACATGTATCTAGTTACCCACCTCATGGGAGCCGATTTAAATTCAATCATACGAACCCAAACTCTTACTGATGATCATGTTCAATTCTTGGTTTACCAAATTCTACGAGCACTTAAATACATTCATTCAGCTGGGATAATCCACCGGGTAAATAGATGTTTTTTCGTCAACTCTCTTTCCTTCTCTCTCTCTCTTACTAATCCACAAATAAATTACCCTCATAATTTAACAGTTTAAGAGGCTTGTTCTTTGCTCTGATTTCATCTTTCTGTAAACTAGTTTCCATCACAATTAGTTTTCTTTCCGGGTTTCCTACTGTAGGCTCAACTTTTCCAGTGTACGTTGTGTGTTGTTATTGTCACTTTTCCCTATCAAGTATAAAGAAACTCGCAAAATGACAAAGTTATCATTTGACTCGGTGATGAAGTGATTAAGAATTTTGATTCAGTAGTTGTTGGATTAACGCCAGTCATGGATAAAGAATTCAATATAATTTTCGTTAAGAGTTGAACTATTCTGAACATGAACTTTATTCGATCCTTATTAGTGAGTCTGCATTAATAATTCTTGACGTTTCTTTGTCAACAACACACTCGCATATTTGACTCTCTTATTCAATGTCATTGTGAGAATATTTTACTCTCGTGGCGAATCAATTTTCAATAGCAATCAACTGATCATGAATTATAATTGATTGATTGAGAGATCAGAGCAAAAAAATGACAAATCTACCTCGAAGTTTTCAATTTTTATTATCGTCTAACTAATTGTCTTTTTTTGATCTTACGAATTTGTTGATTTTTTGATTTTATTCTCTAGGATCTAAAGCCAAGTAACATTGCTGTCAATGAAGACTGTGAATTGAAAATTTTAGATTTTGGCCTGGCCCGACACACTGAAGCCGAAATGACCGGTTACGTTGCAACCCGTTGGTATCGAGCACCAGAAATCATGTTAAACTGGATGCATTACAATCAAACAGTTGATATATGGTCAGTCGGTTGTATCATGGCTGAATTAATCACCAGTCGGACACTTTTTCCTGGTACAGATCGTAAGTGTAATAGTTGTAATACCATGACAACAAGAGGATTATAATCAAATCACTATTCGAGTTTATTTTCAGAATTTAATCACTGAAAGAGATTCTATCTAAGTATTTAACAGTAATTTCTTTCTTTTTTACTCTTTCTTTTTTTCCATAATCATCTTCTCATCCAAGATTTATTTTAGTTCTTTCATGATAAACATATATTCTTTCGTTACTTTTTTACACTAATCACAACTATCTATTCACATAACTATCACAACCTTGGAACTTGTGTTTGTGTATAATAAGCTTTTGAAATAATCCATTCAAGGCCTTAATTGGTTATTCTATTGCAGTTTCTTTAATATAATTAACTTTGTTGGTCGAAAAAAAATTCTAAGTAAACAAACTTTCCCACCATAAGAACCTGTTGAGAAATCAAATTTAGTATATTAGTTAATTTTGTATAATATTATTTAGCTGATTAGTTAATCACATGTTAATGAAAGAGAAATCCTGTTTCTTAATTGTTGCTGTGTTTATTTTTGTGATTACATTGATAACAATCAAATTGTCTCATATTAATTTTATTGCTCTCTTTCTTTCTCTCTCTCGATCTTTTTCACACATTACCCAATAAAAAGGCTCAGTATTTACTTTTGACGTAATTCAATGAATCAAACTTGATGAACTATTGATTCAAAGAAATTAATTGTTTAATTTGTTTTTCCTCGACAGATATCGATCAATTGCTAAGGATCATGGCTGTTTGTGGTACTCCTGATGATGAATTTATGAAAAAAATTACATCGGAAGAGGCTCGTCGATACATCGCTACCTTACCTCGAATGCCAAAGCGTAATTTCACTGACATATTCAAAGGAATTAATCCAAAAGGTGCGAAAAGATTTTAAATATTTTAAATGCATCGAAATTATGTAAATGTATCATATTTATTTAACTTTTTTTCTTTCTTGTATTTAGCTATCGATCTTTTAGAGAAAATGTTGGCTCTTGATGCCGATCGTCGTCCAACCGCTGAACAAGCATTAGCTCATCCATATTTAGCTCAATTCGCCGATCCAAGTGACGAACCTACTGCTAAGCCATTCGACGACTCTTGGGAAGAAAGGGATATGCCACTTGAAGAATGGAAAAGTATGCATTTAACCTTGAATATTATTGATATTCTTTTCGAAATAATTGACTAAACTTTTTTTTCTTTTTAAACTAATTTTTAGGACTAGTTTACGATGAAATGGTCCGATTTGTACCCAGAAGTTGATATTCAACGACACAATTTATCATCTTAATCATTATCTTCATTATAATTATTATTTTAATTGCTTCACTATTGATACGTTTACCACTTGAAAACATGATCAACGGAAAAGGATAATCAACGGAAATCATTAATTTTATTTGATTCGATACTTTTTATCAATAAGCAAAATCACCTTTACAATCCCCATGACAAATAATTATGTTGATTGTGTTTACCTTTCCCTTTTAATCATAAAAATTATACTCAACTTTTTGTTCCCTCTCTTTTTGTCTCCATCCTTTTCCCACAACAATTAATTAATGATAATTTACCTTTGTAAGATTATCATATTTGTACATTATCCATTAATTAATAATAATATTTAGACAATTAAATCTTTAATTTACCATTAATTATAACCTTGTAAATCTTTAGATTATTGTAGGAAGTTAATTGTAAACATTTTTATTCTGTTGATCTTGAAAAGTTTTCCTTTGACTAATCATCAATCTAATTGTTACTAATTTTACCCTCCAGCCAATGAACTTAAACCCTAATTACCTGAAATAATTAACATCAATTGCATTAATCAGTTGAAATTATTCAAAAATTCAACAATTAGCTGAGTTTGAATTTCAATCGGTAACAATTATAAATTACAGATAAAAATACTTGAATGACGTTGGTTAGACTCGTCCAATTATTTAATTGTAAATTCATTCTTTGTCCAAATGTTTAATTGAATGTTACGAAACTTTGATAATCAAATTTAATTAACATTCAACAACAACAATCAACAGCAATCACCATAAATGGAATCAGTTGATTACTAGGAAAATTTTCCAAACATTTCCGGATTGTTTCAATTTCTTTTCGCAGGAAAATAACAATTAACTATCCCAAACAGAAAAATTAACAATCAAGTTTCCATCAATTAACTTTTATTGTTTATCCAGGTTACAGGAGTTGTACAACAACTGAGTGCGCTTAGTATCGCACCCACCGTGAGGCCATTATACCATTATACCTCATTTACAGGATAACATTTAAAATGTTTCATTTTTCTAGTTTCTTCAATTATCAGTACATGTTGAATAATTTCTACAATTGTTATAAGTTTCTTGCCAATTAATTAGGATATGGACCAACTGTATTCATCCATAGAGCCACTTGATCGTTATCATTATGGTGTCCAAGATGGTTAGGGTTTGGGTTTCATGTAGTGTTCATTCTGTTGATACTGAAGTCGGTGGTTCTTCGTGGCCTCGGGACTGATGGATCCTGCCATTGCAATGAGCTTCGTAGTAGAACCTTCACCGCTCGACATTGCTTAGCATTCAAATAGCCAATATTATGGATACTTTTGTCCCAATAAGAGCAAAGTCATAGGCTTAAAATACTTCATTATTACGATCATTATTTATGGATTGCTTTTCTCCTTCTTTGTAACAAAAAACATCTTTATAAACTACATTAACATTATTAATTGATGGAGTCCAAGATGGACCACTTCGTTGTTGAATACCATCAAAAATATTAGCTTCAACTTGGATTTGAGAAAGATGTTTTTTGAGATTTTCTCAGCACCTAAGAGTCGAAGGGACTCGAGACTTGATTGGAATGAGTTTGCGTGATACTCAATTGTCATATTAAAAGATCAAGGTCATTCAGGTCACTGGTAAAATAACGCGCTTCAAGGTCATTTGATGGTCATTCTATGATTTTCTAAGCTTATTCATCCTGGGTTAAGATTTTACAGTTTGTTGTAACTGTCAATCAGAAGATATTACAGTCCAATTAAAAAGTTACTGAGATTCTTTAATTAACAAAACTTATCTTAACAGTTGACCCTAAAGACATAAGAGCCTGAAAACTTGATACTGGTGTTTTCACTCATACTTTTTTATGGTAATACCTTCAAATGACCTTGATCTTTTAATAGTACAATTGAGTATCACTCAAACTCATACCACTCAAGTCTCGAGTCCCTTCGACTCTTAGGGGCTGAGAAAATCTCAACAAACATGGTGAAAATAGCTGAATAGCCCTGTATATTAAATTCATAAAATTAACACTCGGTTATTAATTGAATAATTATTGATTGATTGAAACTTATACAAATACTTTCATAGAAACTCAATAATTAAATTATTGAAATAAATAAATTATAAATTTAAATTGTTATTTGAAATTGTTCTAATTTTAAGAAAATTTCTGCGAAATTAAATTCAATCCAATTAAATTTTCAAACAAAACTAATTAACAAAAATTATATTAAATTTTAAAATTGAAGGTTTACCAATTGTTTGCTCCCCATTACGATTTTCATCAACTGAAGAGTCCAAAACTTTATCACTTTTGGACTCAATCACATCAATAACATCAGATGAAACTTAAATAAGAAAGAAAAAAATTGTTTAAACAATTGAACAAGTAATCTGAATTTACTGACTTCGATTATCCCTTAATTGTTTGGGCATTATACGGTAGATTAATTATAATTGTATTTGTTGAATAAAAAGGCTGATCGGAAGCTCGAATTCATGATACAGATCAGAAAAGATGAAACAGGAAAATCTGACGACACGAGAAACAGAAAAGATGAAAGAAAGTGGTTTTCAAGTTTTTGAATTTTCGCTTTTTAAGAGCGTTTTTGAGTGGCATTTTTTCAGGGTTTTGTTTCACTCTATGTGTCACTTATAATTATCACAGGGAAAGAAAATTGTTACTAAAACAGGGTAAAAACATGAAAATTATGATGAACTTTCTGATCACATTCGAACTTAAATGACTATTTACAGAGAAAAGGTCGTGAGAATAGCTTTCGTGTCTATAGTAACCGCTGAATCTTTGGTCGTTTGTTATTGTTTTGATTGGAAACATAAAATTAACTGTTGTCTTCATCATCTCTTTAAATTGGTCATTAAAGTGATTTGATTCAATTTTTTTCTAATTAAAATTGATTTCCTCTTATTCGATTCACTTTGCATTTGATTGATTTCTTCCAAGGTAAGTGAACAATTAACAATTTTTCATTTAATTTGAACCCAATTGTTCATCCAATTTATTTTCTTCTTTTGTTTTCATTTTCTCTCTTTTCTTGTCTATTTAATTGCCTTTATTTGTGATATTTGATTACAATTTGATTGAGATTGTGTTTTGTTTTATTTCTTCTCTTATTTCATGGATTGGAAAAGAAAAATTTATTTTTGTTTATTTCAAGATTTCCACTTGAAGTAGAATTTGAGGTTTGACAGTTAGTTTTCTTTCTCTTCTCTCTGTCTTTTCTCTTTCTTTTTTCTCTCCCTCTTTTTATGCAAATTTGTGTCTTCTAATGAACTTAATTATTCTTGTTCTTGAATTTATTCCATTTTTTATTCTATTCTTCATTGTAGAAAACACCAACATGAGTACCACTGAATCAGTAAGTGAATCAAATTTTTAGCTTTTTTTTCTTTCATTCGAAAAGAAAATATTCTCTCATTTTTTTTCTTTATTCTTTCAGCCCAAAAGTTTGGAGAAATGTCTTCAGGGTTGGAGATGTGTTCTTGTTCAGGCTTATCCCTTAATAACATGGGACAAACCCTACTATCCATACATTTTGAGCGGGACAATTGCGACCATTTTTTTGTAAGTTGACAATTACTACAACAATTGAATGAAAATCTAACTGTAAATATCACCTCAGGATCATTTGGCTTTCCAATGCAACCATTTTGACAACATTTTCACTCATTGGATTGATTGTGACAATCGCTGATTATGTGGTTCCACTTATCTCAACTCACTATTTGGAACCTCGTTTCTGGTAAGTTGATCAACTTGATTGTTTATTAGTTTTTTTTTGTATCGAATCAAATAATAATCTTATTTACTCTTCTTCTTTTCATTTTATGTAAATTTGATACAATTTTAGGCAAGATTCGGATGAAGAGAAATACAAGAAAATCGTATATCACATTTCTCAAGGAAGTCAAACTATTTCATCTTTCATTAACTATCTAAAGGATCTGAAAAGTTCAAACTCAAAGATTTATTTCCCAATATTGTTCATCTCTTTAAGTTTCTCTGCATGGATTGGAAATTTAGTCAACAATTTACTTCTGACCTTTATAATGGTGAACTTTATCGTTCTCCTGCCTGGTTTACGACATCATGGATACATAGACAAAGCCCATGAACAAGTCAGGGGAATCTTTGCCAAAGTACTTGGAGGATCCAAAAAGAAAGACTAAAGAAAAACAAGATGAAAGTAAATCAAAGTTTAAGGAAAAACTTTCAACAATTAAGCATTTACATTGGTATTAATAAGCTGATCATTATTCATTCAATTGCAAGCACCATGAATACACCTACATTTTGATTCTCAATTTGAAAAAAGCGGAAAACACAAAAAAAAAACGAAATTACTTCATAATTGTAACATTTAATCATCTCTTAGATTTAGATTTATCTTCATCACTCTGAACAAATTACGATCTCCCAAAAGATGGATGATTATTATTAGTTTATAATCAACATACTTTAAGCAAAATTATCTCAATTATCCAAAAATTGCTAAACAATTTAAAGTCAAAACATTTTGTAAACATTAATCATTTTACTTCATCACCAAGACGATTAATTATATCGTCATTTGATACTCAGTCCAACAATTAAGAGCCTGATGGAGGAATCGAAGAGATTAATTTAATCACAACTTGGAAATCCCTTCCAATTGGATGGTTCGTTCATCGACATTTTGATGAGCTTCCACCATAAGAAAACCCGATCATCAACAATTTCTCTTCCTCATCACTTGAAATGATTTAATCACATGGAAAAGCAATTAATTTCTTCTTCTAACTGTATATTATATTAATATTTTCTTTTCATCATCCCTGCGAGTTCAATGATTCCATGGCGAAGAAGTGGAAGAATAAGAAATTCTATTCTAATGTATCATTTCTTTCTTTCTCTCTCTCTCAATTGTTTCTACTAATTTAACTAGATCTTTTTCTTTCTTTTTTGTTACCCTGTAAAGGAATTAATTTACTCTAAGTACATTAGCTCATTTCGAGAAAATCAAAATTCTCTTTGATTAGCTGCCAAAATCTTCACGAATCTTGACTTATTCCCAATTTTTTACCTTCTCATTTTTTTCCTTTCGTTTTTTGCTCATACACTTTATATATACACTTGATTCTTGTTCCATCATGAAGATTATATATATTCACTTATCGTCATCATATTATCATCATCTACACAGGGAGCACATAAACACTACCTTAATTAAAACCATTTAAACTCATTCAACGTTCACAATTTAAAACCATTGTCACTGCTACTTAAAAGTAACTTGTAAAGACAACATTTTACATTGAATAAAATTATACCTTATGCTTGGTATTGGAATTGATTAATTAACCCACTTGGAACAATCTTATTGGTTGTATTTTTTATTGGGTTTTCTTTTTGTCACCAAATTAGACAAAATTATGAAAAGAAACACAAAGATATGAAAAACTAATTATCCTCTGGTAACTTGATCTCTTGATGTCTTTTTGTTGATCCAATTGATTTACACTTCAAACCACAGATGAAACCAACTCCATTTTGTAGTCTATTGGCAAACAATTATGGTTATTGAACTTTTAAATTATCTCCAATAATTAAGGATTGTTATTGTTTCCAAACAATAGAAATTAATTAGAGTCTTATTAACACAAATTTAACAAATAGATTGAAAATCATAACAATTGACATAATCTGTTAGTAGCCCTTCACACTAATTGTAATTAAAGGTCAGCTCAATATGATCCATCTTTGGTGAACCAATTAAGACCAATTTATAGTAATTATAATGTAAACAATTAACTAAATCATTAGGCCTGACAAAGCTGTTGACTAAGCAGTTGTTTACAGTGAAGAAATTGTTTCTTTAATCACCATTGTAAATCAATTTACAAACTGTCGATGGATTTAGAATGGTCCTCGAAGAATTAACAATTAAAGAAATAGAAAATAAACTTGGAATTCTCAAGTGAGCTAATTAAATTAATTTAATTAAGAATTAATTAGTTAGCGCCATTTGTATGAATCCATTGTTTCTCATTTAGATGTTTACTGTTACCGTTAGATGGAAGCACTTTTTCTCTTCTGCGCATGCGCAGTTTGTGAATTCGCCTTTGGATTTTCGTTATTTTCACTTTTCGTTTGTTACAATTTTTTCTTTGATCAACTGAAAACCTTTTTCAACTGTGTCTCAACGTCCTAAACCCTACTATCATGGAAGAAGTGATTAAAATCCACAACGTCTTCACGAAGAAATTCATCTTCCTTTTTAGTGGAAAGAGGAAACTCAATGACCTCAGCCACGAAAGATTATGGAATTTTGATGTTTGGTATAAGGAAGAAAATGACAACCACCACTTTCTCTTCCTTTCTGGTCCGATCATAACACCTGATAATCAATCTTTAATGCTTAAACTCTACAACAATGGATACAAACTATCCGTCAACAATTGGCATAACCACAAACGTAAGATTATATTCACCAAACCCCAATTCAACGAATTTTTCAACAAGTTTTGCTGTTCAACAAATGAAGACTTTATAATGGTTCGCTGTCCTAATTCAATGGAAATAATAACTCGCTCACAGCCACTTTTGGATATTTTCTGTAAAGAGATTGATAAAATGTTATCATTATGATACCTTTTTCTATGGTTACTTTAATTCACTTTCGAACAAACTTACCTTTTCTTTGAACCAACTCAAAATATGAAATAAGATAAACTTCTAATTGTACAATCTAATTTGAATCATGACCTTAAACATAATGTAAATAAATAAAACTTTTAAAATCAAATCAAATTATCTTGGTATGAAAAGAACATCCTTTTATTAATTGCCTTTTTTAACCCAAAATTACCGTACAAAAATCCAAAGACAAAATTTTTCAATCTATTAAAATGAAATGTAATTATTTTTTAACTGTTATTCTTTCGAATGGTGATCATCCAAGAAGATCTTTTCGAAAACGTAATCGTAACAGGATAATCCTTGGTTCACTTTGATAGAGGTAGTTTCACACTCACTAATATTCTTATCATGGACGAAACAACAATTTACGCAATAAAAGCCTCGGCAAGGTGGAATATGCTTAATTGAACCACAAGCATAACAGCGAATAACTTTATCACAAATGTGGGGCAAGGTCGATCTCTTTTTACAGACCCAACACTGGAAATATCCAATATTGTTAAACAAACGTATCGTCTTTCCTCGTAAGATCTCCTTCATCCCTTTTTTATTAATATAAATATAATAATAAATAATTTAAAAGAGAAAATAAAACAGAATAAATTAATAAATTAAACCCCCTCATTATAAAAGAGATAAAATTTTTAACTAAAACCCTGTACTTACTTTTCTTCAAAAGTATTCCCAATGCTTCACCAGAGACTCGTATGAATAATAAGGTGTTATCATTGAATCTTTTCTCTTCCACCAGATAAAATTCTGTATCAGACAGACCAAACACTCCAGCCAACAATGATACAAATCGACTGCTTGTCAAACCTAAGTCGCTTTTGTAGCAACAAACCTCCAACTCCTTGGCCTCGCTTTTCACAACATCATCTATTAACACATTATCCTCACAAGTCTGCTGAAATTTTTCAATCATCGAATTGTAGACTGTAACTTGAATACCACCTGTAACTACACAATTGAGTGAATCAACAGCAATTAAAGCGCAAATAGAATCGTCTGCATTAATCCGTGTCAAGAATAGTGGCAAATTATTCCGGTGTTGGCGAAAACGTGGCTTTATCACCCATAAACCATAAACAGCAGCAGAATTCACTTTCACTTGCACATTCATTAACAAATCCATCATAAATCAATAAAATATACAAATTCAGAAATCACAAAATTAAATAAAGAAAGAAAAAGAAAATAACTGAAAGCAATTGATTAAAGAAGAAACAATAAAGAGAAAAGAAATGAAAAATCATTTCCGGTTTGTAAAGGGAAATAGAAACACAATAGATGGAACCACTTCTCTCCTTGTACATAATTAATTGATTCAAAACCGGAAATGACAAGGTAGCCATTCTTTTTTAGTCAAACTGGTAATCGAGCCGACCCAAATCAGACCGAAAAAGTCTAATTTCATCATGATCCTCACGTAATTCGTGGGGTACCTCAAGACAAATACAACTCACATCCTTGAACTGAACTCGAAGCACATTCACAAGGCCAATATTAATGGTCTTTAGATCATTTTTTGAGAAAAAAGGAAAGACCTCCTTCACTTCAATCTGATCGAATATTGGGACTCGTCTACCCTTGAAGATCAGAATCATATTGACCGTACCAAGGTAACTCCTAAACTCTTTAGTAATCGACATTTTTATTTTGGTCCATAATTTACTAGTTGATAACACAAATTCAAAATCAATTATCGACATCTCAGCTAACCCAGTCGGAGCCATTACCACAAATCTAAATAGATCATTGGTTATCCTTGTACCAAAAGGAACATAGAAGTAAACATGGAATAAATTTTCTTTTACGTCAATAGAAGGCATTTTCTTTTCAAAAATCACTTAATTACAATTAATTTTCCTCTAATTATAAGAGTAAGAACAAATCTTTATAAATGAAATGAAAGAAAAAACAATTGACTTTTATAAAAATGAAAAAAGAAAATATTTATCCTCAAAATTTTTTCCCTTCACCAACACTTAGGATTAATGTAACTGAAACAGCGGGTCTTTTAAAAAATTCGTCTTATCCAGATTGAGAACTTTATAGTCATAATCGATTCTTTCCAATGCTCTTCTTAATTGATTTATAAATTCTGGACAATTAACTGAATAAATTGTATGACCAGTATTACCACAGCCACCGCAACTCATCTGCTCAAGCAAAACAATTTTACAATTAACTCCATGATGATTTCCCAAACACTTGTAACAACGAGCTGATTTGTGACAATCTTTCAGATTGTGACCATATTGGTGACATTTAGTACACTTTCTTATGTTTAAATTATCAAAAAATAAACATTTAGATCCAAACAAAATCAAGTAATTTCTTTCTTCTTCCTCCATCCTCTTTCTAATCTCTGGGTCTATACTTATCAGCACGAAGAAATGTTTCTCTCCTCTTAATAAAAAATCGATCTCAAATCCACCTTTTTCCAACACCCGCTCCGAGGACCGTAACAATTGTTCAAAGGTACTTGAATAAATGGTTGAATCATCAAAAAGCCTTCTTGGTACAACTAATTTGATCATTGGCTTCACACATTTCTGCTCGGACAGAACAACACCATTTATTTCCTTTAGGTCACTCCTCGCTAAGAATTGCCTACCCATTGTCTCTGATGAAAATAGAAGACGCAAACAGTTGTATCCAATTTCAAACTCTAGATTTTTTCCTAGAAACTGGCTCACCAAAGCATAAATTGACCGTGGATCCAAATAACGATTATCACGATAAACACGTAACACCAATATGAAACGTTTCGTATAACCAATTTTCAAATCAACTGTAAGAAAATCACCATTAACACTGAATTCAGGAAAGAAAGCAACTTTGGCTTCACCTTTTTTCTCCTTCTCTAATCTAGACGAACTCGCTTGATTCATTTTTACCTTTTCGACAGCCGAAGTCATCTTTTATTAAACTGACAATCGATACTTTAAACACAATGAAATTTTAGTAAACAAAATATTACTTGTAATCAATTAACTCTTATTCACTTTTTTAACTCAAAAGCATAACAATAAAACACCTTAAGGACAACAGACCAATTTAAAACCGCGCAAATTCAAAACTCAAAATCTTTTATAAAAATCTTTATTGTACTTTTATTATTAGAAATAATTTTAGGGCTGCAATAAAAAACCTCTACAATAAACAAGAATTGTGAGGAAAAAGCATCTCCCTTCTTCTCATATTAATGAAATTAATTAATACATTACATAGACAAATCTATGATTAATCTTTTCTAACTCAATCTTCAGATTATTTAGAAAAACCTCACATTTTTTATCATTAGATCCATGTCCCTCCTTTTTACAATTAGAACACGTGAATAGGCCTTTCTCCTTTACGGTACAAGAACGAGACGTATGATTGGCTCCACAATAAGAACAACAAGGAAGATTTAAACATTGGTTTTTACGGTGACCAAATCTACAACAATTGTCACAAATAACTATGGCAAAATGGTCAAGAGCTTTGTATTTTCCAAAAGGAGTCCTTATATATCCAAATTTCTCTTCAATCAACGATCTAATTCGTGACTCCACCTGCACTATTATTCTGTAACCAATTCGGGTCTTAATTGAACTTTTCCATATTACCTTTGCCTCCTTTGGCCAATTATTCCAAACAATTAGTTTCTGCGACCAATCAGTTAAATACTCTTCGAGTGTCTGAGTAATACCAGCAGGAATAATAACCTTTTCGATCCGGATGAAAGGATCGTGAATATCAGGAACCTTCAGCACAAATGAATCAGCAAAACACTCGTCCTCTTCGAACAAACCTTTTAATTTTTCCCGTGAGGCGACATTTTCACATGAGATTTTTACACAAAACTTACCAACTCCCAACTCATTTATTAGCAAGGAACAATCTATCCGATCCAATATTTCTCCAAGATCTAACCTTAGTTCATAACCACGACGATTTTTATCCTTTCCAAAAATCAGCAAAACTGGTAAAAGGTTAAAGTCCTCAACTTTTATCCAAGTATTCGGAATTTTTTCAGAGGAAGAATAACGAATGTAAACTCGAGGAGAAACAACAGCGTCATCCCCTTTATTGTCGACCTGAATACCCTCTTCACCATTTTTCCAATGCTCATACTTGATCAAAAAACTCTGGACCAATACCTTGACGTCATCATCAACTCCCAAATAGTTATCCTCATTCGAATTAAAGTTTCGAAGCACTAACTATCTCGAGAAAATCAGTCTCTCCATAAACCAATAACAGTTGATCAAATAGAACGTCATCACTAAAATCATCCATAACTTTCGATATTATCTGGTAACAACTTTCAAAATCATAAACACTATCATCGTTAAAAATCCTCTCTACGTTATCAGTCGATGGTAGGGAAACAGTAGTCGCACTCCTTTTTCTTTTCGGACCCATTACTATTGGAAGCAAGAACAAAAAACAAATGAAAGAAAATCTTTTAAAAGCAGAATAACTTACTCAATACTTCACAACCAGAGAGGAAGGAGGTTACAATCATGTGCTGCCCAATCTGCTTGGAAGTGATAAATAGATATGATCATAGTTATATTCAACTCAACTGTAAACATATTTTATGCTCAACGTGCTATACCTCTTACATCAAAAGATATAACAAATGTCCTTTATGTAGAAAATTTATTATTCAATTATTTGTGAAAAAACTTCGAAAAATTCAACTGATAACAATCAACTAAAATGAACTTTCTCTATGTGAATGTCCGTTTAAACAACCAAACAACTAATTATCTTGTTAACAAACAAATAACTAAAAACAACTACCTTCTCATTTTAACCGAAATCAATAAAAAATTCACACCAAACTCAACTAATTTGACAATAAATGGAAAAGTGGCTCAATGTCTCCCGGACACATACAAAGTTCTCAAAACCTTCAAAAATTTCAGAGATATTCTAGTCTCATTAATCTTAAACGACCAAAAAACGATCTTTTGGCTCATAGTGATATACCACTCACAAAAATGCAACTTTTCCTTCCTCAACGACCTCTCTAAAATAATAAATGAACTAAAAGAATATCCAATGATCATCATTGGAGATATCAACGCAGAGAGTGAATTATGGTGTAATGAACCTCGAACAAAAAACAACGGACCAGCGGACGATTTTAGACATTTAGAATCAACCTTATCAAATACCGGCTTCACATCGTTATTGGGAAAAAACAGGGAAAAAGATTATACAAGAAAAGGTATTTCAAACTCAACAATTATCGATGTTTGCCTCACAAATATACAAAGAGTTAATCGACTAAATACAATATATAAATTCTATGAATCTACGATTAGTGACCATAGAATCATTAAAATTCATTTCAACTTCAAGAATACTAACAATTACTCAGTTGAAGAAACATCCTTTAGAATCAAACGAATTACATATAAGACCATCGAACAAACTACAAGAGAAATACTAATAGCCCCGATAATCAACAAATTTATAATCCAAAAAGCTAAGAGAACTAAACATAAGAAAATTAGCAAAATGAAAACTCTTGAAATCTTTAAATTAATTAGAAAAGCTAATGATCAAACCCAAATATCGAACATTATTAGTAGTAAAAGATTGACAATTGAAGACTTCCCTAAAACTCACAACAGAAGAAACGAAGTAAAATATTTTCAAGGAATAACAAGTGACGAAAAATCTTTCATCACTAAAATTAATTTCAATTGTTCCTCCTCGTACGCTGATGATTTCAATCACCATAAATGGAATAAGTTCAAAAAAGTTAACATTGATACGATAACTGAGCTAATCGATAACATTTTCAAAACGGGAAAACTCCCACAGCTACTGAAAATAAGTGGTGGATTCCAAATACCCAAACAAGACGGTAAACTAAGAACAATTAGATGTCAATCCTTTCTGGTAAAAATAATCGACAGAATCTTAACCCAACGTTTAAAAAACAAAATAGACCTAATAATAGACGAAAACTTACATTTTGCCTTCTTGGAAAATAAGAGCAGATTGGATTTTCTAATCAAATTCGAAGAGAGAAGAGAATTTTTTCAAAATATATACCTAATAGACATCGAAAAAGCTTTCGATAAGATTAACAGAGATAAAATTATCAAAAAAATCTCAGAAATTCTTGACGAACAATCAACAGAACTAATTAGCCTTTTCTTCGAGGGAAGAAAAACAAGAATGGTCCGGAACAACTCTTTTGAGCTAATCGATGAAGAAGGAGCACTCTTACAGGGGACTTCACTCTCACCACTACTCTTTTGTGTGGGCATCGACGAATTCGTGCGAGAACTTAACCAATTCGATACCGAAGTGTATTCATATGCCGACGACCTCCTTGTTTTGACAAACGACAATATAGAGACCATAACTGAGAGAATGGAAAAGAAATTGGAACCTTTAGGATTAAAAATCAACAAAAACAAAATACAAACGTTACAAGAAAAACAAAGTATCAAAAAAAATACAACAATAACAGGCTTCAATGTTTGGAATAATAATTTAGCCCTTTTCAAAACAAACATAACTAATGAAACCAGAAGAATTCTACGTTCACTTAACATTAAACTCTTCAAACAGATTTTAGCAACTTACACAATTAGTTCTATGGACCATTTGGGTACCGCAACTTTTAGATACAATCGCAATTATCAAAATACAATTCGTAATCTGATATTTAATGGTCTTAAAAAAACATTTATCTCGGCCTATGGTAAACAAATGATTAGCTCATGGTTTGGATACCTAATGGGAATTGAAAATCCAGCGATTAATTACATATCAACTTTGGTTACACATCTAATGGAAAACGAAATGGATACAAGAATCTTTCCCATCTTATCAGAACTCCAACCTACCACGATAATTAGAAAAAGAAATAAGCAATTAAAATTTGTACCCAAAACAATGAACATAATTACAATCAACAAACAAATAGAATTTGTCTGTGTAAATACCAATGAACAACACTTACACTATTTATTCAAGGGAATTAGTACATATTTAACCATTACCCACAACTTCGCCAAGAGCAATCACAATAAAGATTTGCTGATCATTTTGAAAGGCACCAATATTAACCTTCGACCCTACTTAAACAAACTGTCAGAGCTACTAAACATTAACATCGAAATTAGACACTCTAAAAAAACATCCTGTCAGGAAACAAACGAAATAATTAACATCAGGCATGAAGTTGAGTCCTTCGGATCTTTCAAAGAAAAAGTAATTGAGAAACTTAAAAATTACCAACGTATTATTTACGAGAAAGAGGAACCATATTACCTTAAAAAAATGTTTCCGAACAAAAGAAAATTTTTCATTGAAAACGATAACAAAATGAACCCAATCACTCTAATCAAAACAATTACCTTTCTAAGAATCAATATAGGTAAGAGATGCAAATTTTGTGGCTCAACCAATAACAGAGAACATTTAATAAATTGTCACAGAATTAAAGAGATAATTAAAGACTGGAATATGGAAAAATACTACAACTCAAATATCAACAAACTAATAAATTTCAATAAAAAGCATAATAGGCTCGCTAGAGCTGAAGCCGCCAAAAGGCGCAGCTAAGACGTCGGCTATCGACGCACTCTATATGTTCCTTTTTTATTTAATTTTAATTGATTGTTATCAAATTTTATTAATTGTTCTTTGTCTTCTAATTTGTAATTTATCTTCGCTAAATTAACCTCCTGGTAAGTACCTGATTCTTTGTAAGTTTTGTTTTCTTTATTCTGTGTAGCCCAACCTTAGAGAATATTTTTCTCTTTTGTTTACCAATTAGAAATTCGTTTTTATTTTAATTCTATGTGAAATTAGTTATGTAAATTATCACTATTGTTGATTAATCTGATTGTTCCTTCATTTTAATTGAATAGTCACCTTGTCAACTTAATTCATAGTATTAGGGATTAACCTTCTCTGTTCCTTGTTCGCCATTTTCATATTGAGATTTCAATTTTTTACCTTTTCCTTTTCATGTTACTTAATTGTTTCCTTTTGATTTCATATCCAATCAGTTATCTATTAATTTTCCAGGCTAAATATTTGCTTCATCACTTTACCAAGAGACTTTTAAATTGTCCCTAAGGATGAATTGTGACTTTAGCTCATCTTGATTACTTTTCATTTTTTACTTCTATTTATTTTTAACTACTAATTCTATCAACTTGTTCAGTCTCTTTTCTTATTGTGAAGGTTGATCTTCTTGCTTATTCCATCTCACAGTTATTTCTAGATTGCGTGTTCGCTCATTGTTACCAATGTAACCAAATCTTTCCATTGCTTTTAACCTTCTTCCGGTTCCTTCTATTTGTCTGTGACTGCTTAAGATTCAGTCAAAGTAAAATTGTTACACAGAAAGTAAAAGGAAGCGAAAGAGATAATCTAATTCGACTTTTCTTTCTAATATAATAATCCATCTTCTTAAAATTCTTGTTGCTAACTGTTTCAAATTATCTTATTCTTTCAGACAAACAGTCAAACAATGAGTGATCCCGATCTTGTAAGTATTCACATTAATTGTTTGATCTTTTTTTAGATAGTTTTACAATTTCTTTTAAATTTATAACAGTCACGACACCAAACTTTGGAAGATTGTCTCCAGAATTGGAGATGTATCTTGGTCAATGCTTATCCTGTGGTTACTTGGGATGCTCCTTACCATCCATACATTCTTAGTGCTATTGTTGCATTTATTTTCTTGTAAGAAAATCAATTCACAATTAAGAAGAAAAATCGATGAAATTAATTCTCTGTTTCTTATTTCCCCTCAGGATCATTTGGTTATCTCATGCCACCATTTTAACAACTCTTTCAATCATTGGATTGATCATTACAGTTGCTGACTATTTAGTTCCTATTATCTCAACTCACTATTTGGAACCTCGTTTCTGGTAAGTTGACCAACTTGATTGTTTATTAGTTTTTTTTTGTATCGAATCAAATAATAATCTTATTTACTCTTCTTCTTTTCATTTTATGTAAATTTGATACAATTTTAGGCAAGATTCGGATGAAGAGAAATACAAGAAAATCGTATATCACATTTCTCAAGGAAGTCAAACTATTTCATCTTTCATTAACTATCTAAAGGATCTGAAAAGTTCAAACTCAAAGATTTATTTCCCAATATTGTTCATCTCTTTAAGTTTCTCTGCATGGATTGGAAATTTAGTCAACAATTTACTTCTGACCTTTATAATGGTGAACTTTATCGTTCTCCTGCCTGGTTTACGACATCATGGATACATAGACAAAGCCCATGAACAAGTCAGGGGAATCTTTGCCAAAGTACTTGGAGGATCCAAAAAGAAAGACTAAAACAAAACAAGATGAAAGTAAATGAAAGAAAAATTCATGACACAAGAACAACCAGAATCAAGGAAATGATTCTTTAATTATCTCTCCATTCACATTACACAAGATATTTATTCATCTTTAACTCAACTTAATTTCTGTCAAAAGATTTATTATTACCTGTTAAGAACTACAAAGAAACTATTTACTTCCTCCAACAAAATCAAAAATTACATTAGGATTTAATTCAAGCTTCAACCTTTAATTATCCTTGACAAACAATTACGTCCAAGCTTCATGACAGCTGATTTAAAATACTGACCATTTCAACTGATAAGATTATAATTGTAAATGATTGATTAATCATAATGATTAACAAAAGTGATCTCTGGCTACTGATTGAAACAACGATAATTACTAAACCAACAATCTATACTATGTAAACATATTCATTCATCAACATCTTAAATTTCAATTTAAAATTTGATTTTAAATTTTGAACAAAAAATTATTGTTAATCAAATTGTTAACAGTTAATGTTTACCATTGATAGATTTTCCTTTCAAGATTGTTGTTTAGTCTCTAGTGTTGGCAAACATTAACTCTTGTTGAATATCAGATTTTCATCACCGACTTTTGAACGTTAATTTTGTTTCCGCATTAATTACAATTGGTTAGACTCTCGAAACAATTTAACTTGATTGTTGTTCTCAGACAAAACCCTTTGTCGTCTTGCCAAATAATTAATGCCAAATAATCAGGGCGCATGTTAATCAACGAGAATTTAAATTTTCTAAGGTCAAATTAGGGTTAAATCTAATTGTAAATCACTTCGATTTTCAACTTTAATCAATTGATTAAATTTGAATATTTAGACCATTTAATTGTTTAAGGTTCTTATTTAGTTTCAATTGTATCCTAATGATTTCATCCTCTAGTTGTGACAATTGTCCCTACAATTTAATTACAACTTTCAAAAATTGATCTTAATCATGTGTAATTAGTCAATTTGTTAATTGTTTAATTGGCAAATCACTAACATTTTGAGTGAAATGTTGACAATTAAAAAGCATTCTGATCAAGTTTAATCACTAAGGTAAATTAGAGTTACAATTAACACTGATTAGTATGCAATTTAGTTAAATAATCAGGTAATTAGCTCATCATTCAATTGTAACAATTTATCAGAAATCAAAGAGTAAGAATCAATTGTAATTAATTATCTACGATTAATTGACGTTAAATTAACATAATCACAATCATAGATCACAATTAGATAACAATTAATCAATTATTTCTGTAAATTAAATCACTATCACCATATGATCAGTACATGAACAATGTGTGAACAAAGACAATTAAGAATGGAAATGATTTACTAATTGTAATCTCGTTCTTTGTTATTTCAGCGATAAAAAGTTAATAGTTACACTTAATCGGTTCAAATGTTACAATTAACATCGAGTTATGAACAATACTTGAATTTTAAGAAATTAATTTTTAATCATTTTCATCATTTTTTGATTAATCTTTAATTCCGATCCATAGGAATTGATATGAGATGAGCTAGTTTGACTTCGTAACTTTAAATAACAATATGAAAAGGTAACAGAATAGTTAAGTTAATTGTAAGAACTTTTTGCTAAATTACAACTAAATTTAACTTTCGTGATCCTTAATATTGTCTTTAGTGCACGAGGCACATTAATTACATCACAGTTTGTTTTGGGTTAGTTAATTACACTTTGGGACATGAAAAAATTTAGGGAATACAATCAAGAACGCAAGTCGTTAATTGTTGTATTAATGTGTAAAGATTAGGCTTAATAGTTGTAATTTTTTGCCATTAAAGTTACTGATTTTGTGATTGTGATAAAACTTTTGATAGATTTAAATTAGGCAATTTCTAATCAACGTGTTGATGTTGAACTTCAGCTTCTCTCCATGTGTTTCGAATCGAATCAATGATTTTCTTGAGAATAGTTGATCTCCCGATTAGATAGAAAGTCGTTAGAAGAAGAAAAATGGCTGAAAGAATGAGAACATAATCAACTGATGGTTGTGGTGTTGTCGGTAATGGGCTTGTCCAATCGTCTTCCGTTTTAAAAACTGATAGATTGGGTTCAAAGCCAGTTAATCGATAGATAAATGTGACAAGAGATAATAAACTTGTTTCAGTCGAATTATATTTAGCGACAACTTTACCATTATGAAAGAAAAGTATTGTTGGAACACCGACAAGCCCGAACCTCATGTTGATGCTGAAGGAAAAAAAAGAGAGAATAGAAATGATTAGATTATTGCTGCCATTGTAATAAAGATTATTATGTAATTTGTCCCGATTAAATATTATATTATTAGTAATGAGAAAACAGATTTACTTATTATGTAGGTAGGCATTGATAGCGATCACATTGAGCTGAGGATACCCTTTGCCAATTGCATTGAAATTTTCAGTTGCTTTCATGCTGAAAGTGCACCAAGGGTAATAGAAAAGCACCAATGCACATACGGAATCGTTTCCTTTTGGTAGAATATATTCCAGAAATTGTTTCGAATTAACCATCTTAACTTCAGGTATCTAAAGAGAAAAATAGTAATTTGAGAATAAGAAAAGTTTGTTATTAGTTAATTTTGTCCTTTCTTTTTCGGTGAGATTTTTCTTTCATATATAACTTGAATGTCGAATTTTTCTTGGATCATAATCAAGCATCAAGTTGTTAGATGGTAGATGGTAGTTGATTGTTGTGCGCATTCAGCTAAGAAGATTTTCATGATTATCATCATGATTAAGTTGTTTAAAGTGAGTGAAGGAGTAATCATAAAAGCTCAGGGGCAAAGCTAAGAGAAGCTAAAATTTCAGATTAACTACGTAAATGAGTGTAGCTTTTTTGTCATTAACTGTTTCTCATTTAGTGGAAAATAATAACACATAAATAAAACAAAAACAAACACGTGTAAAAGATACGCCAGAGATAATTCCTGGAAAGTGAGAGAGAGAGAGAGAGAGAGAGAAAAGAAAAACTTCACCAGCTCATAAAGAGTGAGCTGTATTTTTGTCAACCCTTTAAATACCCAAAAAGCCATGAAATGTAATTCAAGTAACGAATGAGCAAAAACAATAAACAAATAGTTGATATCATGTATGAGGAAATGATAAACACTTACAAAGAAAAAGACTCAATCAACTTAAGGGGGTTAACCTTGCAAGAGATGAAAACAAGAGTAGATTAAACTTGTCAGGTGAATCCATTAAATAGGATAAAAACATAACAGTAAATAAAACCACAAAGCCAACGACTTAAACCCAAGCAAAAACATAAATCAGAGAAACAAACAAACAAACAACCAAACAATTAAACAAAACAAATAAAACAAAACTTTAAATTAAATCAAAAACCAATAATCAAAACAATCAAATCGAAGAGAGAAAATCAATCAATTAAAATGGCGGCAAGAGAAAAATTTTCATTCTAATCAAAATGGACCAATGAGAATCGCCCAAAGAATTAGCGCCATCTACAAACATTTAGAAATTAATTACATTTTTTATCGAGAAATTAATTACAGGTAATGATGAAGAAGAAGACAAGAGATGATTAAAGAGAGAGAGAGTAATGAAGATAAAGATAAGAGATTGAAAGTGAGATAATTTTGCAAGAGAGAGAGAAAGAGAGAGAGAGAAACGAAGAGAGTGAGAGATTATTGAGAGAGTTGATTTTTGATGGAATTTGTTTTCACTTTTGCTTCATCTTCTTCTCGGTGATTATGTTATTTTATTTGGTGACGATTCTAAAGTAATCAAGTTAATTTAGGTGCAAGACACGTTTTCATGGTTTCTCTTCATCATCATCATCATAATTATATCAACATCTTTTTCTGTGTATTGTAACCACAATTTACTTTCAACGTGCTTATCCCTCCCTCTATTTTTTGTTCTCTCTCACTTGAAGAAGACAAAACATATTCTCAAGTGCGTATTCTTTTTTTTCTCCAATTAATCTCTTTAATTAATTTCTCTCATCTTTAACTCTTCATCTTCTTTTTCACAGTTACAATTGTAATTCTATTTATCTCCACAGATTCTCTATCTATTTGGTATCATCAACAGGTTGGTATTTAATTAGTGACGATTCTCTATCAGTCTTTTCCATTGGAAGGGCCGTTATGTTTTCTCCAATTTTCTATTCTCTTTTGGGTTAATTGTCTCTCTTATTTTCTCTATTTTTTATCTCTTTCTCTCTTTTCTTTCTTTTCTTTCTCTGTTTCTCTTTCTGAAGAATATTCTTTTCTTTTCTTTTGCTTTCGATTTCTAACAGTTCATGTTATCAATATGTTGCCTTCTATTGAATTGTGGTGATTAATTAATTGGAGTCAATTAAATTAACTGGTAAGTAATTGATTCTCTTTGTTCACTTTTCTATCTCTGTATTTATGATCCTCTAAATTGTCCAACAGTTTAAATCTGATTCCATTGAGTTGTTTACATTTTGAAATAGCGAAAGGAGGGAAAACATGGAGAAAATGAAAACCTGATTTTCTAAATTCCAACCTCAAAACAAAAGATTAATTTCTCAGATAATCAATTGATAATTGATGAGAATTAAAATGATGATAAAAGTGAGAGAGAGAGAGATGATGTAAGTTAAGAGGATCAACAAGTTATTTCTAAAAATCACTAAGGCCTTTGATTAGAAAATGTTCTTTTGTGAATATGATTATCACTTTTTAGAGTAGAATTTGTTTTCAATATTTGCCTCTGTCTATTTCTCTCTCAACTCTTTCTGATAACGATGATGATGATGATGATCTACGCAAGCAAAGGCAAAAGTGCCTCTTGTTAAATCTTTTATTCTTTAATCATCATCATTTATCTTCCCCATCCCCCTAATTTTCTCTCTTTACATCTCAGAATTTCTCTGAATTATTTATCTATTTCTCTTTTTTTTCCACTTAAAACTATCGAAAAAAAAACTCTTCTGATTTTCTCTCTTTTTTATTCATACTCGTTCTCTTGTCCTTCTGTTCCCACCTTCTCTCTTTCATATTTTCCTCTCTTCATCCTTTTTCATCTCTATCAATGTACCTCCCTCTCTATCTCTCACTCTATGAGTAAATTTCGATGTCCTTGTCTCGAATATTATATTCATTACATCTCTCTCACTGCCTCCCTCTATCTACTCTTTCCCTCGTCATCATCATCATTCTTCCAACTCACTCAGTGTTTTTTTACATCATAAACATTAAAGTGAAAATGAAAGACCGAAGGCGTGTGCATTTCATTTCTCTTTCTTCTTCCTCTTTCATTTTCTAATAGAAAAAAGAAAGAGATTAATATATCCCCCTTCTTTACTCTCTTTTCCATCATCATCATCATCATCTCATCTTCCAAGGTCTTTCATCATCTTTTACCAAAGTATTTTTTTTTTCTATGGGGGAACAACTTAAGGAACATCCCTTATTAACCCCCAAAGCTCATTAAGTGAGCAAAGGGCTTAACTACACAGTAACTCTCTATCTATCACTCCCTCTCCCCCTTTTCTATTACACACATACTCTCTCTCTCTCTCTTACTCTCACTCATTCTCTCTCAATGGTATCTTCCTCTGGCAGGCAAAACTATTGGCAGTATAATTCAACACTCGCACAGATTAATTGTAAACAGTTTAATTGTAAACAACATTCTTTTTAATACTAATCGTGTTTTTCTTTCTTTTCTCTTTCTTTTCTCTTTCTTCATAGTTTTTCTTCTCTTTCTTTGATCACATGGCTCATCGTCATCATCATCATCACCAACAACAACACCAACCTAACCAGTTATTAATAATATTATTGTTTTTGATGTTACTCGCTCTCTTTTCACCTTAAATCATATTAATATTATTGACCAAATGTGTAACTCAAATTAAGATATTAACTTTTATCAACAACAACAATTAACCATTGGATAAAAACTAACGTGTTTTATGAATTAATTTTCTGATTGTGCCTTTTTCGTGTTTTTCGTGTTATTTTGTGTTTTCCATTCTCTTTTCCTCCTTATCTCCTCTCATCATCATCATCATCATCATCATCCTTCGTCATTATCAGTTAACACCTTTTTCAAATCAAATCAACAAGTGTTTGTATATGTGTCTATTGGAAAAAGGAAAACAACTTCTACAAAGTGCTCTGATACAACTGTGGAATAATTGGTCATAACTGTTGTTCAAAAGAAGCAGTAATCAAGCGTTTAAGTGTTAATTGTTCCTTAATTTTGTTTATATGTTAAAAACTCATTTCTTTGGAAAGAATCGTTTAAATCATCATTAGTGAAAATGTCTCGCACAAGTTTAAAGCAACAACTAATGAGAGAGCAAATGGTTCAACAAGAGCGGAAAGAAGCTCTATTGAGGCAACAACAATTGCAAAAAATGCAAACTAATTCAAGATTAACATCTGATCATCTTAACATTGGTTCATCTTTGATTAATAATAATGGAAATCTAAACAGTAACAACAACAATAATAACAACATTGGCAGTTATACCAGTAGTGTGATTGCCATTGCTGGTGGAGGAACTGGTAGTGAACATCGAGGTGGACGATCTATTCCCCATTCAATTGGAACCATGAAACTATCGGAAGCAGCATCATGTCCAAGTTTTTTCACCGATGGTTTTAATAGTTCCGATAGTGGTCCACACTCATCCTCGAATCTTCCAACAGGAGGTTCATCATCCTCATCTTCAACTCTGATTACAAATATTAGTACAACGACAGCAACTTCATCAAATACCCCCTCCTCTAAAGCAAACCTTCATCATCATCATCATCATCATCACCATTCAACACTTATGGGTGGTAATACCAATGGAAGTGGCCCACAGTCACCTTTCCCTTTAAGTCCAGATAGTCCGTTATCAGGACCGAGATCTTCAGCATCTGAAATTGATGAATATTGGGAAGATGTTCAACGAACTCTTGTCCTTGAGATGCCTGATCTAATGGATCAAAATGGCGGTGGTGGTAATGATGCTGGTGATCCCATGGGATCAGAACATGTTGCTAGTAATAGTATAAATGTTATCCACCATCATTCTCATCATCACCAATCATCATCTCATCATAGTCCCATGGATCCAATCGCTTCAACTTTACCTGCTGATATAAGTTACGGTTTCAACCCTCACCAAATGTATACAGAAGAAGAAGATAGTCTTCAATCAACCAGCCATTTATCTGATGTAACAAAAATGTCCTCATCTTGTCCACCATTATCCACATCATGTCCTCCTCTTTCTTCAGATCCGGAATTTAGTGCATGGGAGCGGGAAAGGAAAAAGAAAGATGCTCACAATAAGATTGAACGACGTCGAAGGTACAATATCAATGATCGTATTAAAGAATTGAGCACTTTGTTACCAACTCAAGATGAAACTTATTACGATCTTGTCAAAGATATGAAACAAAATAAGGGAACCATTTTAAAAGCTTCGGTGGATTTTGTTCGAGAATTGAAACGAGATGTTAGTCGAATACCTGAATTAGAACAAAAAGCCCGCGAATTGGAGATGGAAAATCGTAAAATGTCCATGAAATTACAACAATTGGAACAAGATTTAAGAACTCGTCCTTCGATTAGTGAAGAGCAACATGGATTATATGTAAGAATCTATTCCATTAATTGAAGAAAATATATTCGCTAATTACTCATGATGGTTGTCCATTATTATAAAATCAATCAAAGATAAATCAGTGATAGTTTTCTCTCAATTGCCTTTTACATAATAATGTAAAAGGCATGATAATGTAATTTGACCGAGTTAACGAATAGTATAAGCCTCAAGTTAATTTCGATTAGAATCTAATGAAACAATAACGATTATAATGTCTTTTTGCTTCTTCGATGAATTGAAATCATCCAGGAAAATGGCGAAGTGATAAATTTTTCTCTCTCTTTTTATAATTGATCGCTGATGGCAAGGAAAACTTTTTGGGTTAAAATTTGATTTTAATCGATTATTTTAAATTAACTTTACTTCCTTTCCATCTTATCTTTGAACTATTTCCCGATTTAATTCCATTAATTAAAATGATTTAATTTTATATTCAATCAACAGAAACCAGATTCATCATCACCTAAATCAATACAATTTGGACATCAACCACATCTCCATCATCATGCTCATCATATTCATCATTCAACTCACCATGGAACACCCACTCCACCACCTCATCCACAATCCCTTCCACATCATCTTTCTCATGGTTTCCATCAATCAACAACTGAAACAGATTATTGGATTAACAGTGGTATCACCTTGGATGAAAATCCAAATACTGGTAGTTTACAAAGTCACTCTCAACATTTAACTTCAAGTTCACTGGGTCATCATATCGATATAAGTGGTGATCTGGTCGATTCAATTTACGGGACATCTAGGATGCCATCTTCACACCATCACCCGATAATTAAACAAGAATACAATGTATCACCCAGTCAATCAAGTTCCGGTTTAGGGTCACTTTCATCACCAACATCCTTAGGTTCATCTTTTCTACCTCTCTCTCAAATGTTGATCAACGAAGCAAGTAAAGATTCCTAGGAATCAACTCTTCCCATGTAAAAGGTGAATTACCTTCACCTCAAGTTATGGATGTTTGTGATTAAACAACGAGAGAGAGAGAGAGAGAGAGAAAAGGGTAATACAAGATTCAACAATCAACAATCAACAAACTGCTAAATGAAAACAATACCGATTAAATTAACATTGGCAATTTAAAAGCAATTTAAATTTTCTTTTTTCTCCTTCAACGCGACACAATCATAACCATTATATTCTTGCTGATGCTCAATTCTGTTCATATCTTCAATATTTTCCTCAACATTTTCATGGTTCCTTTAAAAATTTGCTCATCTTTTTCCTTCTAATCTCTCTCTCACTCTCTAATTAAATTAATCATCATTTATCAATCTTCCTATCGTCATCAACAACATGTCATCCTTTTCACTCATCTTGTGTCTTATTCTTGCTTCAAGCATAATTACATTTTCTTGTAATCATCATCATCATTTAAGAAAAAGGAGAGAGAGAGAGATTGTTAATTAACTTTGATTGTTGCTCTCCTTAACTCCTTCCTGAGACGAATTAATCTTGTTCAAAGACCACTGAAGTTAATACAATTAACTTGATTTTCTTGACCCCACCTTTAAATTGCTAAAACGATATTTTGATTAGCATTATACATATTTAAATTTATATATAAAACAACGCAACGATAAACAAAACAGCCCATTGACGGACATCATAACCATACAAAAATCAAACAATTAATGATAAACAATTTAAATTGTTTCATATACTCAATTTTCAATACACATTTAAATTGCTCACAGAGGATTGAAAAGAAACACAATTACTACAATACTGCTCACTCCTTGATGATTAAAAAATAACCCCTGATAAGATGTAAATCGCTAATCCTATTTAATTAACTAATCACCCAAGTAAATACACATCATCAAATATATATAAATATGTATATCAACAATCAAGTCAACAATCAATTAATGATCAAAAAACGATCGGGATCAAAAACGGAACCTGGTGCTAGTTTCTCAAAGTGACCTAACCTTCATCATCATGTATCTCAAGTGCCATTGGATTTAATCATTGATAAAAAAACACAAATTGTATTAAATTAATAAAACTCATAATTTACCTGATAAAACAATTAACTCAAAATTTGTGGTAATTAACAGTCTAATTATAGACGATCATCTAAATATTAATACAATTAGCTGACTTTGTATTAAATTAAGTAAGAGTGTAACTGATTAACCACAACTTGAATATATTATTTTCATTGAAATGAGATTATGGAAATCGGTTGATTATCATTAATTAATTGCGATAATTTGATTAACCTGTTGCTTATTATTTTCCATCTAAATTGTTACCAGTTAATCAGCAGTGATAATTTTGCAAATTTCTTAATTTCCACCATGAAGATTATTCTGAATTTTAGATTCTACTGATTAAGATTAACCTTCTTAATTATCTGCTACTAATCTCATTGGTATTCTTGTTCCCCTAGTTAATTGTTACTCAACAATTAAACTTTCCCTTTATTCTTGATGAAATATATTTGATATCTAATTACATCTCTAAATCAATTTTGTTAATTGTTACGTTTTCACTGTTAACATTTATCATTGGTAATCAGTAGGAAAATTTTTTTATTCAATCAGTTAATTGTGATCAATTGTCAAGGTAATTTTTTACTGATTACTGTCTAACAATCAATCGAGGCACTTGAACAAATTAAAACAGATTAATCACAATTAATTAACATGTTAAATCAAAAAAAAAACTACACACCTAATTAACTAAATTGTGATAATTAACAGGGTTTTCTAGTAACAATTAACTAACTGTAATCAAATAATTATATTCAAGGTTGAGATGAACACAAAGATACAAAGTGTATTAGGTTAAGATGATTAATTAATTGTGATTATGTGAGATTATCATTATAATTAATTGATTACATGGTAATTTCCTAAACAACAATTAGACAATTGCTATAGTAATTAAATGATGATGATGATAAAAGATTGATGAAAAAAACTAGTTAATTAAACTGTTTCACTTTCACAATTATCAATTTATAAATCATGTTGATTAAATTTTGTCTATAACTTGTTGATTAACTATCTGAATCCATGATCAAGAAAAAAATCACAATTAACTAAACTAATTGGGTTAGGTAACAACAATAGGAAGACAACAATTAACAAGGTTGATATTGGTGTCAACTAATATAAAGGTAATTACAATTAATATAATTACAATCATCTAATAATTATCATTGGAAATGACTATTGAATTTTGTACTCTGGAAAACAACAATGATTAAAGTTGATCATCATCATTAATTGTTGTGTATTTTTCATATTACTTAAATTGTCATCACTTCCTAATTAATTGTTTCAACTTGTCAGGTAAAAAATTGAAAACAACAGTTAATTGATGAAATAATTAATTATACAATCAATTGGAAATGTTAATTGTTACTGAATAACCATCACAATTAAATTTTCAAGATATTTAATTGTTGGATCAAAGTCTAATCAACTTTTTTTTTCGTTCATTTCATTTCATTGATGGTTAATCATATTGATTGTTACATCTTCTCAATAACTAACCAGGGGATAATTGAAAATACATGATAATTATGATGATGATGATCAATTATCATCATTGAACATCTTAGATAATACTATCTAATTTACTAATTGTTGTTAAGATAACAATTAGTAAAGGAAGTAAATTAAATAAACATTAAGATACAAAAGGGAAATTAATAAATAAATGTATGATTAGTTAATGATGGAGTTGATTGTTGATTAACTGTGGGAATTATGAATCTGTGGCATGATTAATTAAATTGTAAATTCAGGAGGAAAAGTCCAATAGCCTTAATATATTAGATGATGATTAGTGATTAAGTTAATTGTTAACAAGATTAGAGGATAATATAAACTATAAGAGGTTATAGACTTTGATTTTTTTTTAACTTTTTGTTATCATAACAATTTAGTTAATCATTAACATGTATTGATTAGGAATCTAATTTTTTTTTATACTGATGCAATGTTTAATTGTTGTTGATTTACTGGACAAGATTGAATTTTTCTTGTAGTTAATCACTCGTGATTAATTGTTGTTTTTGGTCTAAGGGATTGATTAACCAACAATTTTATATAATCCTAAGTTTAAGTAATTGGCAGCTGACTAATTATGATAAGATCATTAAATTAATCAGTTGATTAGATATATTATCAAGTAAGATAGTTACAAGGAGAGGAATACAAATAAATCATGTTAACAATTAAACTCAACGGTGGAAATGATTTAGATTTGATTAGGATAAATCAATGAGTCTCCCAATGGGTAAGATAACATTTAAATTGATCTTTGCCTTTTGAAAATCAAATCAATGAGAAATCATCAGAGTGTATTGGTAAATTGTTAACAATTAATGATGATTTAGCTCTAATTGATTAGAAAGGTGGAAAGAGAGACAAGTCAATTTCACTAAATTACCTTGAAAGTGATCAAAATACAAAGACAATTGATTAACAACAATTAGCTGATAAAGAGCAAAAAAATCATTCAAATCGCAAAGAATAAGAAAATTTTCAAAATGAATTTCAATCAAGCTTAAGATGATTGAACAATTAACTAACAATATGAATTTGCAACAATTAGAATTGCTATTCAATGATGACCAAGAGGAAATATTAATAACAATTAAAACTCAATATTAATCGGTAATAATATTGATCGAGAACAGCTGATCGTTGAACACGTTGATTGTTAATCTGGTTTGATTGATGTTGCTTTCTAAATTTTAGCTCGTCAACAAATTAACTGATTTCGACACAACAATTAATTGTGTTATTAATGAATAGGAATTTAATTAATTTGATAATCACCTCGCTTTCAGTTAGATTGACTGGAGTACAACCCACTCTATTTTCATTGATTGTTGCATTGGAAGTCCGATTGATTAGAGTCTCTTCACTTGATTTAATCTCTCCAATTAATCCGATTGCTTGTGAAGTGGATTCATTAGATGAGGTTAAATTGTTAGAATCAATGTCATCAAAATCATTGGAATTAAGAAGCTCGATGTTGACATTATTATCAATTTCTTCAGAGGAATCATCCAACCTTCCAGCATCAATTGCCTCTAAAAGTCACAAGGAAATGAGAGAGAATCAATTTAATGGTTAATTGTTGACAATAAAGGATTCTAAACGTGACCTAATTAACACAGTATCTTAGTGTCTTAATTAGTCACAATTAGTTACAATAATTTACCTTCAATTGAAACAATATCTTCATCAGTTTCACCAGAAACATTGTCAAGTGAAAGATACATTATGATAATCAATAGACACCATTGATTTAATTTGATTGTCCGGTGGCACTGAGACATGTCCAGTGAAATTAATGTCACACTTACACAAACAATTAGCACAATTAACACAATTAGGACACAAAAATTATAAAAGAAAACCAGAGAACAACAAAAAAACTTGATTAGGTGAAATTAACACAAGAAAAACAAATCATCACATGGGGAAAATACAAGAAATGATATTATATTTATAGAAAAAGAAATCAGTCTAATTGTATCACTGATTCAACAGCTGATTCTTTTTCATCACGTTAACAATTAGAATTGATTGTTGACCATAAATGATTAAGGCCCAACAAAACAAAATGGAGACTTGGTTATGATAAACACTTTGTTGATTTCTCACTTTTTGTTCACTGTTGTTGTTGTTGAAATTGTTTCTCTTAACCAGTTAATCACTTTTATTAAATTCTAATTGTGACACACAGTAAATTCATCAATCAACAAAAGGTAAGAATTAATTAATTGTAATTCCAAACAATCTATTAGATTGGTAAACAAATTTCACTTTTCGGTTTAGGGAGAAACTCAATCAGATTCTGATTCTATCTCTTGATCAGCTGTTTTCTTTTTCTGGTTTTCTTGGTTTTCTATTTTTCTATCGGTTTCAATGTTTCTCTTTCTTTCCTTTCTTTTTTTGTGAGAAAAAGAAAACAGTTTCAATTTCATTTCAACTCACAATTCTTGGTGATAGTCAACAGAATTCAATGGAATCGTTAAATTGTGTTAAAAACTGGTGGAAATGTCAATTTGTGTTAACCTTATTTGTTGGTGAATATGATTAACAAGTTACAGGCTTAGGCCTAACAAAGGATTAGGATTATCTCAATGATCATGAACAATTAATGATCTCAAATGTACCAGGTCACCCTGATGACCTGATAAACTATGGAAATCAATGGGAACCATTGAGTTGGTCACTATTTCATCCTCAACTATGACATGGGAGATATTGAGACACAAATGTTTGACGATTCGGTGATAATTAACTAATTTCTAATGACAATTATCTCTGACCCAAGGTAAATATTCAATTGAATTTTTATAGTTTTTGTATCTCTAACTGATTGATTTGTTTTTGTTTTCCTCTCAATAGAATCTCCGTTAATCACAATTAAGACTTTCCTTGACCAAATCAATGGCAATTTACTTACATAATCAGGAATCGTATCTCAATCAACGTTGCTAATGGTCAATCAAAACACAACAATCAACGACGATGGTGATGATTGTCAATTACGAAAGCAAATACTCAATACCAAATAATGGGAAAATTAAATTGCTAAATCAATTCACCTCTCAGTGAACAATTTAACATGAGATTTAACTCCTTGTGGCTATTTCATTATTCCCATGTAAATATTGTCATTCCAGAGGAAAAATAAGTTTCATAACCTATCCTTCAATTCAGTTATACGATTAATTATGATGATAATCAACATTGATGATGATCATGATTGTAATTCTAATCATCTTAATCATATTTCTTGAATTACTTTCCCAATAATAGTCTTAAAATAATCTAACAACCAGGATAATCAAGGTCTCTCTCTATGTGAATATTTGTTATTTAACCTTGATAAATGTTCCTAGACACGGTTAACCGGTTTACTTTTGGTTAATTGTAATCAAAATATCAACACAATTAAGTGTAGATATTTTGTCAGAACAAATTTTTCGTACAAAATTAAGTTTCTCCCAAACAAATCAACCTTGAGTAACAATTAACGTTACTAATAATTGAATCAATTTATCGTTGATCTCAAGGTAATTTGATTTACCTTTTTTTTCTTAATTAATCGCAATTTAATCTGTCCAATCAATAGTTAATCGCCATTTATTTACTTATCATCCATAATTAGATTAATCCTTTCAATTGTTTACGATTAATTTAGTAATTGCTGTTTTTTTTATTTCTTTACCTTTTCCAGAAATGACCATTGATGACCAATATAATATTCAACTGGATTTAGATGATTTAAGTTAATTATGTAACTTAAACTTGATGATTAGCTGGTATTTGATGTAACAATTAACTTGGTGATCTTATTTATGGTCAACTTGACAATTTGATCAACAATTTTTTATTCAGAAAATCATTTAGCTAATCTGGAATTAACCTAATTCTTGATTGTTTGTAGTGAAAAAATGATAAAAAGTAACTAATCAAAGTAAGTTGATTATATATCGTTAGAAAACAATTAGCTAACAATCACCTAATTACATAAATTGTTCAATTCAATTAACCATTAATTTATTGACATAATTTTTTTACTACTTTTTTTTGTTGATTAGGAAAACGAATCAAAGTTGAATGAACTCATTGGATTAATTTAATTGTTACCATTACGAGGATCAAATTGGTTAACATATTTACGAGTATCATTAATACCTGATGATGGAAAGTACAATTACCTCCAACATTGAAGATTAATTGTCAATAACAACCATGGAAATAATTAAATCATCCAAGTGCGAAAATTACAGTTCGATAATTAATTGAAGCGAAATTTTTTCTTCTCCTTAATTGTCACAATTGTAATCATTTTCTTTCATCCTCATCATGTAATAATCTCTATCATCACCCGGACACTCAATTCCCATATGAAGATCACATGCTAATCATGTTTTAATTGTTGAAGAGACACAATTAACTTCTATGTCAATTGTAACGATTATAAGTGAACATTAATTATTATGTGCTTATTTTAATCATCTATTGATTGTTACAGTCAAGATAACTTATTAGCATTTAGTTATTAATCATCTCACAATTAAATCAATGTAATACCTTGTGTATGATGTTAATTGTTATAATTTTTCATTCTTATCAATTGATGACAATTAACTCTTTCAATTATCTTACCAACGTGATCAGTTTTCGATTGATGTATTTGATTGTAGATTAGATAATTAAATTGACCCTTAATCATTAGAAATACAATTAAGTAGCTTAATTGTGTTAATTGTTTGTAGGTAATCGAACTGTTAAAACTTAAATTAACTTGTAGATTTAATTTATTAACGGTCAAGTTGTTTCATCATTTTCTTAATCGTTAACTTGATCATCATCATTATCTTAATCACCATCATCTTAATCAACTGAAGCACAACTAAGATAAACAAACTTTAATTGTTGTCGCTTTTTTTAGTCTCTACTTTTAATCGTTAGCTGATTGTTTGAATTAATAATTAACAGTAAAATGATTTAAACAATCAAGAAACAAATTAGATTGTTATATAATCATCATTAAGGAGACACTTAATCATGATGATTAAATCAACACCGATTTTAAAAACCAGTAGTTTGTTACTATTGTTAATTTATTCAATGATTAGTTAATTGTTGTCACTTTTTGAATATCACTTAATACATTTGTGGTAACAATTAACTTTGATCTTTTCGCTTTGATTACTAAATTTATATTTATAAATTATGATTCTGGAAATAAATTCACTAGTGATCACAATTAATATTTGTGATGAAATCCGGAAGTTAATTGTTGAATAACGATGAAAATTTTGCCAACAATTAACGTTGAATTATATTAATCACAAATTTCTTATTCATCTAATTAACTCTATCAGGATCATTGGCCTACTTTAACCACTGTAGTAATTGTTGATTGCTGTGTCAGCAATCAACTGATCATTACAATTAATGATAATGGTTGATAATAATACTGTTCATAATTAGTAAATTGTGTGAGTGTCAATTTGTTTTCTGGTTAATTTTATTTAACTTTTTTTCACTCGGGGAAAAATTTTCAATATTATTTGGGAGTAAATTTTTTTTTTCGTACACAATCAAATTAAAGTAACTGAATTAAAACTCACGCAATCAACCAACAATCAAATCATCGTCAATTTGATTGTTTAATTCAATTCACAATTAAACAGAATCAGTTAGTTGATATTAGTTATAATAAATCAGAGGTAATTATGATTTTAATTACAATTAGATAAATTAAAAAACAAAACGATTTACTAACCAATTAAATTAAATCCGGTTGATAATAAACAATTGTTTGATAACTTCCTGATAACAATCAAGTTAATCATGATTAAATTTACTAATCTCTCCCCCGTCTATTTAATTATCAAGTAACAGTTTGATCATCTAATTTGAAACTCATTGATTCAATAGTAACAATTAGTAAATTGTTTGACCAAACTTTTTACTCACGCTGAGTTTACGTAATCAAATTTAATTCAATTTCATTTAATATTAATTTTTCACAATCAATTGATGAAATTTGTTGATTGTCACTCAACATTATTTCATAAATATTGCTCTTGATTAAGAATTGAATTAATTTGAATTGCAATTTTCTCATTTAATCACTTATTGTTGTCAATTTTAATTGTTTGGTTGGGCAACTATTATAATCAACAATTTAACGATAATCATTACCAGTGACCTTTTAAATAGACAATTAATTAATTGTAATTAACTTCCGCCAATCTAACAGTTATTATAACTCATTCAAACGGTCATTGAATAAACTTAATTGTGATCAACTCTGGACAATTAAACACCAACAGATTTGGTTAATTGTTACCAATTCTCACCAAGATCTAGTTAATTGTGTTTCATAATTTTCTGAGTAACTGTTAATTGTTACAACAATTAACCGGTATCACTCTATGAATATTAACTAAAAATAATTCTCGGTTTATATTTAAATCTCAATTTGATAATTGTAATTATCATAATCTACTGTTAATTGTTGAACGGGAGATTATTAAATTTACCTTAACTCGTAATTACAATTATGATGATTGATTAGTTTCGTGACAATTTGATTTACAATTTAAAACCAATATACATTCATGTGGGTGCGTAGGTGAGGATGATAATTAAATTAAGTGTTAACTGATTAATTCGTTAACCAATTGAATTGGTTAATTTACTTTCAATTTAACAATCAAATCTGAAAAGTGAAATGAAAATAAATCATCATTACAATTTGATTATTGTATCCAAATGACAATTAATTATAGACAATCAACTTGATGATTACTTGGTAAGCTTGATTAGTTATCAATTAACTGATTCTGATAATCACCAGAAATTGATTACAACAATTTAAATCCTCTACGATCAGTTTTAATTGTGATCATTTGTAAAGTTAATTACGGTTTAAGATGACAATTTATATATATATACAATTAACTGATTGTCTTGTTATAATTGATCAAATCTGAATGATTTAATTTTGTGAATTTGAACAACCAGCAATTGACTTAATTGTTTAAATCTTGTTAATCATATTAGCATAACAATTTTAAATTGTTCACAATTTAAATTGATCAAAATGTTGATGACCAGAACACGTTCAGTTAATTGTTGGTGAAGCAATTGGACACAATTGAATTTATATAAATTGTTATAACAATTTATTAATAACAAACAAAAATAGTTAATAATTAAAGCTACTGATCTAAATTGTCCGGTTCAATTGTGGCTAATTGTTAACAGTTAACAGTTAAATTGACTTGTAATCAAAAATATTAAATATAAACTGTTGAGTTTTAATAACAATTAACTGGCAATTTAATTTTCTCGTAATAATCATAATCAAGTTAAACAAACTTTCAACCAATCATAATGTTTATAATCATTTAATCAAATTGATGATTTAATTGTAAACAATCAAAATACTACTACTACTAATTGTGTATCATTGATAACAATTAACTCTCATTGAAAAGTTAATTTAGTTTAAAATATTCATTTGATCAAATTGGAGTTTATTTAATTTCTTTAAATTAATCAACAATGATTAACTAATTTTAGCAACAACTGATTGAACTGAGGGTTAATTGTGATGAGTGAAAGTGTACAACAATTAACTAATCATGATTTACTTTTTTTAAGGAAAATTAATTTTCAATTAACTGTTACTTTCACATGCAATCACTTATTGTTACAATTGAATCTCAATTTAATTATGATTAACATGATTAACAATCACAATTCAGTTGCTTGAATAATCATCATCAACCATAATCATGATTAACAATTAAGAAATGAAAGTGAAAAGATAAATAATCAATTGAATGAAAAAAAAAAGTTCACAATTAAAGTTCATCGACATTTCCAATTGTGATCATAACAATTTAGCTAATCATGATAATCGAGTGGTTAACAAACTGGTTAACCTTCAATTAAACACTTAATCGGAACTGGAATTAAATTAAATTGTTACAATTTAAACGGAGATTTATTTTTCTTTATTCTCTTGAAAATTTGTTACAATCAAAACTAATTGTTGTCAACTGATTATGATTAAAATAATTGTCAATTGCCATTGACTAAACATGTAAATTGTTTGCTAACTTATTAACAATCAACAATTAATAGTGACCTTTTTTTTATGATTAAAAATTTAGTTAATTGTGACCAAGAAAAACTTATTACCTGGAAAATAATTTTTCTCAATTGACAATAAATGAATTAACAATTAAACAATCACAATTAAATATTGTGGTGATGATGATAACAATTGACTGATTACATTTCCGTGTTAAATATTGATTGTTAGCTGAGGATAATCATTGTTTAATTTATTAATTGTGACGATCAAATATTTGATCATCATCATCATGATTACTTGACCTCAATCAATAAACACACAGTCGATGATTAAAACTTTCCAACAACAATTAGTTTTCACTTTCAAACAATCAAATGATTTACAGTTGACAATTAGCTAATTATAAACAAAATTGCATAAGTTTCACAATAAATTAATTCAATGTGATCAACAATCAATGTTTTTCATGATTAATTGTTAATTCATTATTGTGGTTGGTGTTGATTGTTGGCTGTAACAATCAGTTGTGAATTAAGGTTCATCAGCAATTTAGGAGAAAAAAATTTAATTTAATTGTACAAATTGTCGCCAAAAGTTTCGTTTTTTGGTCTACAATCAACTCTATCATTGCCAATTTAATTAACTAGGAAGTGATTAACAAATTGTGGTTACTTGAATCTCCCTTATTTAATGAATTTGTAGGGAAAACAATTAACTCAACCAACAATTAACTTTTTCTCGATAGATCATTAACCTAAACACTTTTAAATAATTGATAATTAGTGGCTAATTGTTGATCCAATGAGTTGAATTGATTAACACAATCAGTATAACCAACTGATTAGTTGATTGAAAAACAATGTTGATTGTTAACATCTTGTTGGTATTTACAGCAATTAAGAAAACCATAAGAGTCAATTGAATTAATCAGACAAATAACAATTAGAAATCATCAATAAGCTATCGATCAAAATAACCATAATTAATTAACCAACAATCAAATTTTCAAGCGTTTGTCTGGTTAATTGATTGATTTAATCACAATTAAAATTGGTTTGGATGTTTAATCGAAACAATTAATTATTTTTCTAAGTTGATTGTTCATTTATAACTTATTGATTGTACTCAGCAATTAACTCTAAGATCAAAAAACTTTTGGCTAAACTTTTTCCCGTCACTGATTGGTCTTAATTGTAACTATTAATTCAAACAAAATTCGTATTTGAAAAACATGATATTCAACAATTAGAACTAAATTTAAGAAATTAAATGATTTGTATTAATATAATAGACGAAAAAATGATAATCTCGAACATGAAGAAGAGGAAAAAAAGCAATCGAAAACTGAAAAGTTCTGATCGTTTACAGTTCGTTGATCGAACTGGCTAATTATCATCTTAATAAAGAAACTTTTTTTCATCTTCATTATCAAACAATTTAGATTCTAATCCTGATAATTTAATCACAACAGTGACAAAAATTAATTCAAATTACAACAATCCAACTTGATGTATTAATAAAACATTTACTGAAAACTTTGTCTCAAAACATTAAACTAACAATCAGATTACAACAATTTCGTTGATTAAATTGTAGTAATAAAAAAACTAACTCCTATTAAAATCGTTGTTAATTAATAGGATAATTAGTTGATTTGTACTTGATTTGAATAAGAGAATTAAAAACTTTCAAAAGATATAATTAGATGATTTAGAAATGAAGATGAACAATTAAAGAAAAAACTTTGAATCAAATTACATAAGTAAACAATTAGAACAAGTAAAAAAGAAAAAAAAGAAAAAAAATCGTATCAAATTAAACAGTTCTAATATACAATTCGATAAAAAAGAACAATTTTTTTATAGTTTATTCGAAATCAAGAGACAGTAGAGAGAGAGAGAGAGAGAGAGAGAGAGAGAGAGAGAGAGAGAGAATCGCAAAACAAAAGAAACTTTTTCGGGACGAAAATAATATTTCGTTCCAACGAACCGAACGTTTCAATTTCTCAGCGTGAGTTTCTAATCAACAGGAGGCGCTAATTGTTTGAAAATGATGATGAGAATGATGAAGATGATGAAGATAAGAAGAAGATGAGGAGGGAGGGGGATGGAGGTGGAGGTGGTGGTGTTTGTGTGTTGGCTCAAGGAGGATGAATGAAAAGATTGGTTAAGGTGGAGATTGAATTTTTTTCATTTGTTTCTTTCTGTTCTGGTTCCTTACGATTCCAACTAAGTGTTACCATGTTGATCAATTTATTATTATTATTAAAACAATTTTAATTTAGTTACACTCATTAAACAACTTTCTGATTCTTGACTTGGCGTTGGCACTGGTTTTTAGGTACTTTTTAAAACTCCCTCTGCGACAATAGTCGACACATCAACCAACCATCAGACACCAAAAAGCTTGAACAAATCGCTAATCAGAATCAAAGTTTTTCTTATATATTTAACGGGGAAGAAAAAATTTTCACTATAAATCAGTTTATCGATTCCCGATGGAATCTCAGTCGCCTTCGAGTTCGTGTAAACAGTGTACAGAAAATCAGTCCAATATTTATATTACCTGTGATTGTGCTCGAAATCAACCACCAACCCACGGACCTTTAACAAGTGAAGGTGCGTTTAACTAATTAGTCGACAATTAACTTTGATTAAACATCTTCTTCATCGAAAACATCAAAATCTATTATCATATATGTTCAATATTTTTCGATTTCAATTTTTATTTTCTCTTACATTCTTAGTTAATTAGTTGATTACTCTTTTTCCTTTCTCAATTTCATGTTCATCAATTAACTAATTGTTGTTTTTCTTAATTGTTTATATTGTCTCTGGATTATATTTGTCTCCATCTTCAGGTATTAAAGGTGAAAAAGGTGCTATTACTGATTCAGCTAAATCGCAATCAACTGAATCTAAATCATATCGAACTGCGAAAACAGTTATTTACGATATCGTAAGGTGAGTACACTAATTAAATCAACTAATTGTTAACCTTATTTATGGTTCTATGTATTGGTTAACATGACATTTGATTGTGATTGGATTTTCATTTCAATTAACCATTTCATTTGCAATTTAAATATTTAAATATTCAAATTTTAGTCCATTGGATTAGTTGAACTGATTATAAATGTTTAATTGTAACAATTAGATCAGAACAACATGAAATGTATGAGATAATCCGATTCAGGATTGGTGATTAATTTTAGCTTGATTGTGTCTGATTGAAAGTGTTTACCTTAAATATATCTGATTGTTTGATCATCTTATACAATCAACTGACAATTGAATCAAGCATCAACAACACTCAAAAATAAACACATTCAGTCACAATTATTTAGATAACAATCAAATTTAATTGTCCACCAGCAGATCAAATAGATGACAGAGTTAAACGTTTATGCAAATGAATTGGTTTCTTTCAATAACGTTAGGACGTTTTTTTTACGTCAAAATTTTGTCCTCGTTTTGATTATCGTCATCATCTGGTAACAATGCATTGTAAGGATGATAAGGATGATGGAGATGATGAGGATGAACAATATTGAATTGAGTCTGATCGTCATCATGATGAAACCAAAATAGCAAACCAATTGACTAACCTAAAGGTTGACATCAACATAGTTTTTTGTATGGACCAGTAAGTCAATATAAAAGGATTTGATGGTGAAGATGAAAAGAAAGAGAAGATGAATGATAAAGAAAGAGAAGGATGAAGATAAGGATGAGGATGAGGATGAGGATGAAGATGAAGATGAAGATGAAGATGAAAATTAGTCAAAAAAATAGTAACAAAATTGATGCTTTTTAACTGTAATCAGTTTAATATAATAATCATGAGGATGAAACGAAAAAAAAGTTTCTTGATTGTTGATTCATTCACTGATTACAATTTAATTCTGGTGGTTTGATTGTTGAGTTTCTTAATTTAATTCAATTGAGATTATTTTTTTCTTGATTGTTATTTACAATGAATATGATTTGGCGTGTGCTTTGATTCAGTTCAGATGACAGTTTAATTTGATTCTGATTGTAAAAGTTAATCAACTTGGTTTGATTGATTTTTTTTTCCTCGATAAATTCAAGCTTTTAAAACTTGTTATTTGTTATCATTTTTATCTTTATAATTAGTTAATTGTTGTTGAATATTAACCGTATGTGATTGATTTACCGGTGAGAGTTTGTGGTTAGCAATTTAAATTGTTGTAAATTAAAGTTACCTTTTTGGTGATCAACCATGTTGGTGATTGATGTTGATTAAGGAAGGAAGCAAATAGAAAACTGAATTAGTTAATTGTGAGAAAGGCAATCTATTAATAGACAAATTAAACCTCTCATTAATTTAATTGTGATTGTTGTCTTATTATTGGAGTTGATTATTTATGGTTAGTGGGTGGTGTAGGTGGAGGACGAAGGCGTCATGATTAAATTGATTAAAATCTTAATTGTGATGAACAGTTTCATGAAGTATTCTTATTGGAGTAATTAGTTTTTACCCTGATCATAATTAACTTTTACCAAGTGATTTAATTGTGAAGACAATTGATTGGGATGTTGATTATTTTCACTTTTATGGTTCTAATTTTGAATCGTTCAATTTAATTGTTTTCAGTTGATTGTGTTCATCAAGAAATTTTGATTCGAAACTTTTTTTTTCTATTAAAAACTTTTACCTTGATTAATGAAACACTCACCTTTGTGATGATGATGATTTATTGATTAACAGTGGAGACAATAAGTGTGATAATTTGGATTTAATTGTGATCAGTGAAAATGGTGATTCGAAAAAAAAGAAGACAATTAGCTTAATTGTTCAATTTTAAGGTAACTGGTAATTTGTCCCAAAATAAAGTGAAAGTTTTTTTTCTGGTCTCATTTCTGGTTACAGTCAACAAACATTTACCATTGATTGGGTTCAGGTAATTTGTTTAATCATGTTGAGTTGATCAGTGATGATAATGATCAACGTGATGAAGATACTGTTGATGATAATCATTTAAATTGATTGTGATTAACAATGACAAAGAAGATAATTGAAGATGGTAAAAGATGAAGAAACGAATGAGAGATTTTTTTTTCTTATTCTTTTCCTGTTTCATCTTCCATTTAACTCATTTCTAACCTGGAAAAATGATAATGATAAATGAAGATGATGAAGGAGTAACCAAGAGAGAGAGAGAGAGAGAGAGAGAGAGTCATCATCATATGTAACAAAGAAGAGAAAGAGACAAAAGAAAGAGGAAAGATGATGAAGATGATGAAAAGTGAGTCCTTCCCAGTCCAGACAAGGTATAGAAACTTGTTTACAACAATCGAGTAACAGTACGAATGAAAAATAAATGATGACGATGATGATGAGGATGATAAAGTAAAAGAAAGTGAGAGAGAGAAAGATGATAATACATGATGATGAGGATGATAAATTTGGGAGTTCGAGAGAGAATGAGTTTCTATCAGGTCATCATCATAGTTTAACCTGTAAATGGGTTGGATGAATGAGAAACAAGATATGAGAAAGATAAAAGTGAGAGAGAGATGAAGATAATGTAGACAGAGAAGATAGAAAGAGACAAGATGATGATGATGATGATGATGATGGTTTAGGATGATAGGGAAGATCAGTGAACGGGAGATGAAGATGATGTCCCAAAAAATTGATCCATATTCATGTTATATGCTGTTGACTGTACAAAGTGAACAGTCATCATCATCCGTTAATCATATTTGACTATTAATTGTCCATTTCAATTTTCAATTGTTTTCCATTAATTTGATTGACAACAATTAAAGTTTTGATTGTTTGTTGTTGTTATATTCTTGTCTTTTAAATTTGTGAAGTGTTAACAACAATCAATGACAATTTAAGGATGACTAAACTACCAAGTGAAGTCCCAACCTTAAAAATGTCTGAGAAATCAGATTCTGATTGTAAACAATTAAAACAACAAGAAGATAATAAATCATCAACAATTAAGCCCAGTGGATTAAATAAAAATGATACCGTTAATTGTGCTCCCGTTAATGGAAATGGTGATTTAAATGAAGACAATCAACAATCAGATCTTAATTGGGATCAAAAATTAACCAAAAAAGTTAAAAAAATCATTTGGATTGTAACTGAAAACTCAACTAAGTTAGTTAATTGTTTGGACATTTTCGCTTGATTAAATCAACCAATAACCACCATAGAGTTAATTGTTTACTGTTTAGTTGATCAAACTTTATCATAAAGTTATGATCGTTAATTGTAAACAATTAACTGTAAATTGAAAATGAATTGAATGAAAAGTTATTAAGGACAATCTCATGATTGTTGGTTGATCATCATTATAATTTAACTAAATTGGTTAAATCGGTCATTACTTTTTTGATTGTTAATCATAATAATCATGATTATTAAAAAATCCAATTGTTACAATCATGATAACAATCAGCAGCATTAAATTGTTATCAACGAAAGTTAATTGAAATTGAAACTCAGATGAATAAGAAAAAAATTAAGATTAACAATTTCAATTGTTAATATTTCTGCATCTGATTACAATTAAGATGTACTTTTAATTGTTACAATCTTTTTTTTCCTTATTTTATTTTTCGTTGATTAACAATTTAATGTTGATTACCTGTTCGCCAGTTAATTGTTGTTAAACTTTCATGAGATTAACTTATTGTTTACCTTTTGAATTAACCTTGATTCACTTTCGTTATCGTTGATTGTTAATCAATGAAAAGATGAGTTGATTATTTAATTAATCCATTAGATTAGCAGTAAAATTAATTAAATAAGGAAAAGTAAATTAAACAGATTTAACAGAATTAAATTACCAAGTTAATCATTATCAAAGAAGATGTTGATTAACTTGATTAGTGAGAAATTAAAATCTTCTCAAACTTTTTTTTCCAAATTATTTACGAATCAAAGTTTTTCCTCAATTCTAATCATATGAACACAATTAATTTAATTGTGTCATTGTTTGTTGATTCAACAAGAAGACAATTAACTTAATTCATCTTCTTAATTTTCTTACTTTTTTTCTGATTACTGATTTACTGATTGTTGGGAAAAAGTTTTCCAATTAACTAACTAATTAATCAAAGTTTCAATGGTAAAAAAAGTTGATCAACTTTTTCGGGTGAAAATTGTATCACAATTAAAATGATTATCAACCAACAGATAAACAGATAACCATAAATTAAAATACATCATTATGATTACGACAATCAACTAATTGTGATCGTTAATTGCTCTTTTTTTTTAATTACAGAATCTACGAATCAACTCCTCCCAGAACAATGAAGTATTTGGCTTTGATTTCATCTTTGATCCTTTTCTGTAAGTAGAAGACAAATTTGATTACAATTAACGAAAATTAACCAAATTAAACTGATTAACTTTCTCTTTCACGACTATAAACTTTTCTTAATTGTTGTTGATGTTTTTTTACGTTTGAGAAAATTGAATAATTAATGAAAACAATTTAAATTCATTCGTGGTTGATGAGATTGAATAATAATAATCAAAGAGCGAAAGTAATAATAAAAGTTAATTCACCAAGGAAACAAATCTTATAACAATTAGCAATTAAAAATAAAGTCAATTTGATAAAGACAATCATGTTGATGATGATGCTAATTAGATTTGATTGAAAATTACTTGATTTGATTGTAAAAACAATAACAATCAACGGACCAAGATGATAATTAAAAAGATAATAATTAAAAGTTAATAACCTTATCAATGTGAATAATATTTACTATGAATAAATTGTGAACGTTTGATTGTTCAAGTTAATTGTTGAAAGAAAAAGGTTAAATTGTTAAGGTTAAATAGTAATAGATTATAATAATTAGTAGATTGTTTTTAATTATCGTTAGTTTATCATTCGTTATCAACGTTAAGAAAAACAAAACTTTCTGAGACTAAACAATTTACTTTATTATTGTTGAACCTTAACAACAATCAGTTAACTAATACAAACTCATTCAAATGAATCTTAATTGTGATATCATATTAATGAGTTAATTTTGTCGTTAATTTAAATCTTTTAATTTGATTTTTGTTTCTCCTTCAAATCAACAACAATTTAGTTGCGGTTCTTTCACTGGTTCTGGCTCAACGAGATGAAGCTGCGGTAAGTTTTAATATCATTTTCTCACTAATTGTCAATCATCGTAGTTAATGATTATCATGACAAACTTTTCCCCTTTTAATTGTTATCCTGATGATCGTTGATTACAATCAATAGATTCTCTTTCGCCATCAAATCTGCGTAACAATTAGAGCTTCTCATTCAAGCCAATAGTTGATTAGCCGATTTTAGTTGATAAAAATAAGGCGAATCACTTAATCTCCAGTTACACTTATTGGCTTGTTGATTGTTGTTGTTTTTTCCCCTCTATTTAGTTGATTGTTGTTAGTTAACATTCTTGATCATGTTAATTGTTGCGTCTTATGTCGCGTTACTTCCGTTATTTTCCGTCAACAACAATCAGATAGATTATTATCATTAGATTCATTTCCATCATCAGAGTAATAGACAGTCAAAGATCAACAGGTTCGTAGGTTAATTGTTACATTATCGTAGCTTCATGAATCAGTAGTTGGCTTCAATTCGTTATGATACTTGTAACTTTAATCTTCTCCCTCTTTCATTTTTTTACGATTAACTTAATCTTCTTGATTGTCTCGATTCACCTTATTGCAAATTGTAAACACCAACAATTCAACTTGACATGAAATTGGAACGATAATATAAATTCAGTTTCTTCACTTGAATCTTGTATTCATTTGATCCTTTGCTCTCTCTCTCTCTCTTCTCTCTCTCTCTCGTTGATTCTGATACTGTTAATTGGGATGATTATGATGATAGTGATTAGTTTAAAGAGCTTGATTACTTTGATCATCATTTGGTGAGACTTTGAATTGCGATTTGTGTACTTTTTTGTTCTTGGCGTTGATTACTGGAGATGCTCCTGTTTTTTGCTCTTCAATTACTTGTCCAGCAATTTTAAATTGTTGCCAGTCAACTTAATCAACTAAACTGTTAACTAATAATAAGGTTACAAGGTAAACTTGAATTGTAAATTAATGGATTTTGAGTAAACACCAACAATTAACCAGAAAATAAAAATAAGACCAATTCAGGTTATTGGGAACAAGATTGTTACCAGAAAGAAGATGAAAAAACAACTCCGATTGTGAATGATAATGATGATGATTAACAACTGGATTAAAGGAGAATTAAGTTAATAAGATATAATCAAAAATAGATTAAGAAAAGATTATGCAAATTAAAGGGAGAATCAGCTGATTGTTGAAATTATTTTCTCCGTTTTCTTTTCATTGTATTGACTTTAAATCTCATCTAATTGTAGATTTTAATTTCTAATTAGATGTTTTATAATCAACAAGTCTAATTAGAGTAATTAATATTATGGTTGAGTTGACAATCTATTCTGAATCAGATTGATTTTGAGAGATAATTAGATCAATAATTTACTTCCACCCGTCAGGTTAAATTATACTGATGATTACGACTAAATATAAATCATTATGATGGTTATTTAGTTATTAGGTTGATTAGTTAATTGTTGGAAGAAACTTTTTGTTACAAAACTTTAAATTCCCAAGTGAGTAGATGATTAACTTAATTTGATTCCAAGCAATTAACATGGTACATTTATGTAACCTACATAGTGTGTATCTGTTGATGTAACAATTAAATCATCAAAAGATTTAATTATTTTCACTGTTAATCATTTTGTCACATATAAATCATAATAATAACACAATCAGATGAACTGGTGTACAATTAAATTAAACAGGTTAAAAGGTAATCAAGAAACGATAATTAGATAAGATTAATTCTCAAGGTAAATTAGATTACGAAAATGGTTAATTGTTGGACAATTAGGGAAACCATAACATTAGAAAACAATTTTCCAGGTCAATTAATTAGCAATCGATTGATTATCAATAAGAATTGTGATCAAAATCCATTAAAAAGTTGATAGTGAATCTTTAATCACTCGGATTAACAATTTGTCTCTAATTTTGTACCAATTTAATTCTGTTAATTGTTAACAATCAATCGAATTGATTTTTTCTCTTCTCATTTCGATTCTTAATTTTAGAACTTTTTTTCTCCAACATGTTTCATCTTCTCCTTGAATCTCACCTTTCTAAAGATAAACAATCAACTTTTGATTGTTCTGATTGATTTGATTTACTTAATGTTCTGTTCATTATTTGTTCAACTATTTTCATTCTTCATCTTCTCCATCATGTTTATCATCATGTTGAACATTTTTTCATCTTCCGATTTGATTTGTTCTTTATGTTTTCTATTCTCTCTCATAATTTTTTCTTCTATTCTTTTTTTATTATTATTGATAAAATTATCGAATCGGAAAAATAGCAATCGAAATACGGAATGGCTTTTCCAATTGACGAATCATCTGCATCCGCTAATAAGGCCGATGGTCGAGTTGCTGCCTCACTAACAATCGCTGCCACGGTTTCTGGTGTTCCCGGTGAATCTTCCGGTTTACCAAATGCTGAAGAGTCTTCGAGGGAAACGTCAACCGTTTTACCCTCGACAACAATTACCAGTGTTGGTGAAGAAAATTCAACAAAATCTACTGATTCAGATTCTGATTCATCTGATTCATCTTCTTCCCTTTCTGGTAATGATGATGAAGAAAAGGGTGAAACCGGTGATCGAAATCCAAGAATCGTTTTCATTGAGAGACTCATGGGTCTTCATTTATCGGCTCCTTTACGTTCTGCCCCAGGATCAGAAGGAAATCCATTGTTCTCAGCTTTGAATGCCAATGATTCTGATAAAGATTCATCTGAATCTTCAGGCTCACCTTTATCATCTTCATCTCTCGTCTCATCTTCTGTAAATGGTTCATCAACAGCATCGGCACCAAAGGAAAATGAAAAAGACAAGGAAACCAAAAACTCATTGGATAAAGTGAACGCTAAATGGGCAAGTCGAATGCGTAAATTTACAATTCCAATTTCATCTGGATCAAGTTTCTCAAATTCTGATTCTGATTCAAGTGATCCAATTAATCCTTTATCCGAAGTTGGACCCAATCCAATGCTTCGTTATGCCGCTGCAGCCATGATGTCCCGATTGATTGCTGCTGCTGCTCGAGCTCAAATGGAAGCTCAAGCTCGTGAGGCCATGACAAACACTTTGATCGTTCGAGCTGAAGGCAAAGATAAAGATGAAGAATCGGATGACGAAACTGTTCCCGTTATCGTTGCAACAATGAGAGATGAACGATTAGTTGGTCCAGGACGATTACCTTTACCTCAAGCACCACCAATGTATGGACGACCAATGCCCACTGGTCGAGCCTCATCGTTGATCCGTCAACACATGGGACCACAACAAGAGAATTCACTTCCCTCTTTTGCCGCTCATCATGCTCACCATCATGTTCACCAACATCCACTTGCTTCAGCTCGATCACTTCCCGGTGGTTTACCCGCTATGAGCCAACGAACCTTCATTTCATCTCCACCTCCACAAGGTCCAACTTCAGCGTCTCAAATTTTATCTTCAGTCCATCGATCACCTCTTGGACCAATGGTAATCCAACGACGAGGAGGAAATGACAGAAACACATCACCCTCAGGAAAAGAATCAGGAAACAATCAAAATGTCCAACCCGTTCTTGTGATGCTCGCTGTTCCCGTTAACTCTGGGGAAAATGGTCGATCACCAATCCCTGAACAATCAAGTTCATCTTCGAACTACCCTGGTTACCATTCATCACCATACGCTCGAAGTCATGTTGGACCTTTCTACCCATCCGTTCCCTATTCCGTTCCTTACATGCGACCATCTTACTCACCCGCTCCTCAAGCAGCCTACGCTGTCCCTGTTCATGTTCCAGTTCCCGTTTCATATGGACCACCTCCTCCTCCACCAAGTGCCGCTTACTATCCAGCTCAACGTCCCATTTACCATTATCCCGTTCAACAACGATCAATGTCAACTGCCTATTCACACCCAAGACCCGTTATCGAGGTTCCAGTTGACGTTCCCTACCATGTACCAGTTCAAGTTCCAGTAACCATGAGATCTATGGCTGCCCATCCTCACCATGTAGTCGCCCCTCCACCACACCCACACCCACATCCACACCATGGACCAGGATTTGCTTACCAACATCAACCCGCTCTTGTCCATCCAATGTCTCCATCAGATCAAGATCCATCAGGTTCAGACCAAGATCATATCGTCCTCTTATACGACGCTGAGATTCACCATGGTGAAGGTGGCCCAGGATCCGCTGGCGATGACATGGACAATTCAGCCTCAGATGGACCAAAATCAAATGGACCAACATTCATCATCAGTCGTCCTCCAAGTGGCCCATCTCCATCCTCGTCCCCAATGGTTACACCAAACAAGATGAAACTCTGGCGAGAAATAATCGCCGCCAAACAAGCCGCTGCTTCCTCCCAACAACAAGGAGTCCGTTTCATCCCAATTACAGTTGCCAGTCCTGAAGATCAACAATCTCCATCTTCACCCTCTTCCCATTCATCTCCATCATCCCAACCCTCACCTTCGGCCTCACAAATCTCATCTGTACATCATCAACCATCACCAAGCCACTCGTACCCTCATCATTTCGTAGCCCAGCCCAATGGACCTCGAGAGCAAACATCCGAAACTATCCCCCAACCAGCATTTATCGTTCTCGCTGACCAAGAAGAGCATTAAACTGACCAAGATGATTAAATAAAAAAGATATAATCGAGATGATCAATTTCGATCTCGTTCTCCTTCCCATCCAACATCCCACTTCCTACATTTTCCTCTTTCTCTCGACCTCTAAACAAAATTTTCCTCCTTCAATATAACAACAATTGAAATCGAAAACAAAAGGTAGACAGAAATGATTAACTAATTTTTTCTCTCCAATTTTTAAACAATCAACTTCCCATCACATCCACTTGATCTTCATCATCACAATCATAATCATCATCAACGTTAATCTTTCATCTTTACTATATCCGGTCAGTAGACACAAAAAAATCAACTACGAAAGTCAAACCAACATATCAATTAAATGATATCAATTAAGGAAATGGATTTCAATCAGAAATGAAGACAAAACCAAAATCAATCATGAAAGTTAATCTTCAACACAATTAAACAACAATTCAAACCTGGAACAGAATTAATTGAATTAATTGTATCCAATAATTGAGATGAAGGAAACAATTTTTATTCTAATCAATCAAAAAAGATGATTAATTGTAACGATCAACAATTAACTATATTATCCTTTTTTTTTATTGTCTCTCATTTTCACTTTACATTGAGAAAGAGGAATCATCAAGAAATTAACAGTTTCTATTTAATGATAATAATAAATCAACATCAATTTATTAATCATAATCAATATGTTGATATAATTGTTGACACTTGAACACGTTGGAGATTTTTTTTTCCTTATTTTTAATCGGTTACAATTAACAGGATAAACCAGATTAATGTCAGTTAATCAACATCATTGATCCTTTTACCAGTTAACCAGAATCACAATTCAACCATCACAATCGTTAATCATCAACTATTAGATTAACAATCAGTTAACCTCGTTCTTGTTCAACAGCTGATTGTGAATAGGGATTAATGATTAAGGTTTATCATAATCGCAATCAACAACATTTTAGTTTGTTTTTTGCCATAAATGTCAGGATTTAACTGTTATTATTGCAACAATCTGATAATTAAGAAAACAATTTAGCTAAATTGTTATATTTTTATGTTTATTATTCAGATATTTACATTTATCATATGATCTTGATAGGATAAAGTTACAAAGATTAGTGTTAATTAATTAACCATAATGATGAAGATGGTGTGATGGTGATGATAACGATGATAATGAAAAAATGATATCTTTGAACAATTGTAATTAACCGTTTTACAGGTTAATTACAATCAGGCAAATTATTGTTTCCCAAATTATTTGATATTTGTGATTGATAAAAGACGATAATTAGATTCGTACAATTATGACAAGAGTCATTCAGGGGAAAAGGGGTTGGCGATTTATGAAAATTTTACAAAAAAAAACTTGATCCGAATTTGAATTATATATAAATTGGACTGAGAGAGAGGATTAGTTGTTCATTTAAATCGTTGGTTGATTTGGTGATACCAAATCGTTAATCATAACTTCACGGATAGCATTGAAGATTGAAAATTCACCTAGTTGAAGAGAAAAACAAAATAATTAGTGAAATTTTATCAACTGTACATGAAAAGGAGTCGAGTAGAGAAATTGAAATTACCTGATTGCATATGATATTCACCATAACGATTCAAAATATCATTTATTACATTGAGAACTGGAGCAACGGTGTTGGCAGAGGCTCCTTGACTTCTATCGGTAGCAACTCGTAGGACATTACGTTCTCCATCGAAAAAGAAAGGTATCACCAGAGTTTGAGGTTCCACACCGATTGGGAGATTATGCATAACGCGAGTAAGTTGCAACTAATGAAGAAAAGAAAGAAATTAAGGTGAGAAAAAAAGAGAATAAGATTAAATGGCTGAATAATCAGGCGAGTGTGTCATCAATTATTTCAGTTTGAAAAGAGAATCTTTTTTATCTTCACTCACAAAGAAAAGTATTTTCGTATTATTAAGCACAAATATTGCCGACATTCCAGGTTTACCAATAGCTCCAAGCTGAGCGGGCGGTATTGTTAACGTCCATTGCAGAGTCCATTTAAGGTTTGGATCAGGATACTGTTGTTTTTATAGTTATTTAAGCATAAAATGAATGAGAACATGAAATAAAAAAGAGAGAGAGAAAAAAGGTGAGAATTGATGATTTAACACAAACAATTATCTATTTAAACAACTAAATGTCTGTTAATGATAAATAAGAATTCAAAATGTATATAACTTACCAATTCAAGTCTTATCAATTGAATGCAGTCTTTTAATGCTCGAAGTGGAGCATTTAAGAGACGAGAATAGGAAATAAATGGATTCGGTTTATATGGAGCACAAACAACCTGTAAAGAAATGAACACAGTTTAAAGATTGGAAAATGTGTAAGAACAATTGAAAAGATGAAATTGTTTGCTTTTTAGACTTTAAGTGGTGTGAAACTTACGCGACTTTCAAAGAAACGCTTGAGAATTTCCAGTTCTTCAGGTAGCCACGAGTTTTCGTGTTCCGGACAAGGTAAGATGTTGATTTGAAGAGACTTTGAAAAGAGACAAGACAATCAATTAAGTATTAAAATTGGCCAAATTAACTAGATGGAGATTTAAAAGTATGATTGCATATACACTTACTTGCATTGTGATTGGATGAACGGCTATCTTGAATTGGAAAGTATCGTTTTTGAATTGAATTATTCCTGGAGTTGGATTGGAAGTAATTACTTGCCACTATGATAGAAAGAAAAGGAAAAGATGTAAGTTTTGATTGATTAGTAAATTGAAGAATAGAAAATGAAAACTCGAGAGGCTAAAGAAAAGTACTAACTCCTTGTTCCCCTGAAAGTACTCGTTGTAATGTCTTTCTCATGAAAACACATCCTAAAAATCGTTCCAATTGTGAGTATGAAGCGTAAACTGGATTATGATGTTGAGCTTGAGGGGACTCGAGGGCAGCGTGTGGACGGCACATATTATCAAAACCTTGATGGGTCAATAAGGTTGGATTGGCAGCCGCCCAGGCCCGTTGAGGTAAGAAACGATTTGACATAGAAATGTGTCCAGGGATATTATGGTAATTAGGGGATACATGTGTTTGTGGACTTGCTCCTACTCCTCCACCTACGGGACTAGGACCAGAGCTCATTGGTCTAGGTGAGGGTCGAGGCATTGATGGGCTATTGGGCCATGGCACAGATGCAGGTGATGGCATTGAGATGTTTGATCCTCCCGGTCCAGGGAATGGTGAGTTAACTGAATGATCATGGGGACCTTGAGATGAGGTATTCATATAATTAGAGGCAGGTGAATGAATATTTGTTCCGGGAGCCGATGGACTTGCGATAGGTAAAAATGATGGTGAGGGTGCATGAAGAGGATTCATTGGTGAATTAACACCAAATATATTTCCAGGAGATTGTTCAGGATGAGACATGGGAATGGAGGGTGAAGGAGCGATTTGACCTGCTCCCTGTTGATTTGTTTGATATCCATGGGATGGAGGTGAGGCGAGGGCAAATGATGGATTAGGTGATGATGCATATGCATTTTGATTTAATATTGAGGTATGTGGAGATGCTGGTGTATTTGGGTGTGACAATGAACCGGGAGTCATTGCTTGTCGCATACCACGAACTCCAGTAACAGTGTTCATCATTGATAGATCGGCGTTTGATGTTATTGTCATCGGAGATGCAGCTTGGTTATGAGTTGGTTGGAATAGATATGATTCAACATGATCGATTTGTGTCATAGGTGAAGGTGGATTATCGTCTTCAGTTTGGGATAATCTTCGCATTTGAGTTGCATTTTTATCGACAAATTTATTGAGAAATGCTTTTAATCCTTGAATTGGACTTAATTCTTCCATTACTTTGGCTTTGTCAAACAAACTATAAGCACCATCTCGTATGGAGACAAAACCATCCATACTAAGGATAACGTCTAAACAGTAAGTGTTTCGATAGATCAATCTAAGGTGGTCACTTTTTTGAGGGACAATACAAAATGTTTGAACAGGCACATGAGGTCGACTGTTGACAACACCGAGAAGCGGAGTACTGGAAAGATTTTGTAAGGTCAATAGAGGTGAATAGGTTGAGTTGAGTGTTTGCAAGAGCCAAGCAATTGAACGGTTTTGATTAAATTCATGTTGTAATTGAGCAGCAATGATAACGGATGGATTACTTGCTGAAGTTGCAGCGCTGTTGATAGTGAACGATAGGAGATACCTTTTCTCAAAAGGTTTCCAAATAATGGCGATAACATATCCCTTGTTTGGACCATAACATAAGGTCACCTTTTTATAGTTGAAAGCTTTAATCTCAAAGATGGGAGGTGAATTGGTGACATTCATTTGATCAATAAATTCGGCAACGATATCGTAAACCTTTGAGCAGATTGTCCAATCAGCGTGAAGATCTTGGATCATTTGTACTAACTGGGAATAAAATCCACTGGAAAAATCGTAACAGAAAGAGACAACTCTCTTTTGTGAATCATCTCGTGGAGCTGAATTAAGAACTGGACTATTGTGAAAGGTTAATGATACAACCCATAGTTTGTATATTCCTCGAGACTGTAAACGTACATTACAACTGATCAAATTTGAACGAAGTCGAGATGCAGGTTCCATGGAATCGGGTGGATATTGGGTAATGTCAATATAATGCATGTAACCGAATTTATCACAAGATCTAACTTGATGACAAATATTTCGTTTTAAAAGTTCTGCGGACAAAATTCCAAAGAAAAGTTTCTCATCACAGAAATTAATTAGATGCATAAATTCAGAAGTAAACAAATTGGATATTTTGGAAGGTGATCTTTTCGAACTATTATTATAAACATCACTAATTAGTTTCCTTTTCCCGGATGCTGATGAGCAGGCAAAGTAGTCAAATGATGCTCTTGGTGAACCAAGAGCACTAAGAACATCCATTTCGAGAAATGAAACTAATTTGTAACAAATTTTGGGAATATCTTGATCAGTTGGAGGTAAACCTTGATCGTCACAAATTTCAACAGGCACCGATTCAATTGTTAATAGATAGTAACGGAGATCAATTTCTTTCTCCTTATTGCGATTATTTGGTTTAAAGGTGATTAGCATGTAGTTCTTTGGATAACGACAAAGATGAACGTAAAGTTTAGCTACTGATGTGTCGGTAACAAGAGGATGGGTAACAGATGAATGCCAAAGTAGTTGATCGTGAGTGGCCACTGTTAGACTTTCAGCTGATATTTTAAATCTTTCCCGATAAATGACAACTTTTAATTTATCGAGAAGAGAAGACCAAGAAGATAAATCTTTTCTAACGGTTGTTGTTAATTCCTCTTTTAGTTCATTGTCTTCAAGCATTGGAATATCAGCCAACAATTGTCCGGTAAAAGCGTCAACACTAATCTCAATCTGTTCGTGAGCCGATGAGTTTTGAACAAATGAATATTTAAGAACTGGTGGACATCCATTGATTGAACATTCTCCTGGTAGATTGTTTTTAATTTGATCTTGGATAGAGTTAAGATATTGCCTTGATCTTTCATGTGAAGTATTGATTAAAAGTTTCTCAATAGATAAGTGAGTAAACTGTAGTAAAAAAAAAGAAAAGGTTTATGAATATCAAATACAATTAATTAAAGAAATTGGTCTACGTTACCTTGAAAGGTTCATTACTAAGAGTTGTACTTGAATCTAACTCAGGTAAATGAGTAACTTGTAAAAGTTTGGACAGATCTTGATTGTCAATTTCGATAATTATTTTACAAGGAGATTTCGTTTCGCTTTTGTCATTTTTATCATCTTGATTTCTCCAGTAAGAGATGCATAGTTTTCGTCCCAAAATATATTCATCTACTTTAACTAATTCTCCAAGTCTTTCCCTGCTTAGTCTGGATGCCTGAGCATGAAGAACTTCCAGTTGAAGGCTAAGACAAAACGTGTCTAGGGTGAAGAGTAGAGATGAAGAGATTAGCAAAATGTTAAACAATTTAAAAGAAAAAAAAACAACTAAAATATACTTACGAAGTACAATATATGGATCTAATAAGGATTTTGAGTTATCGTTGAGACGAGCTTGAATCACGTCAAGAATGAATCGCACTTGGAATGGATGAACTAGATCTTTACCACCTAATAAGATTTGGAGAGAAAAACTTTTCATTAGTATTTTGATATTTTCCACTGATTAGTAAAATTTATTTACCTCCGGTTTCCTTGTCTTCAACTAAGAAATCAATAGATAAAACTCTCCAGGGTAAATTTGGATTATCTCCCATCAAAGTTAAAGCCATTTCGAATTCATGGTGAACATGAAAAATAACTCTACCATGTTCTGAAATAGAAAAAGCAGAAATAAGAGTCAATAAAATACAAGGCATTTAAATAGATATGAATAAGCTAAGATTCAATGTTTACCGATTTTGAAATTTTTCATCTGAGGACTTAGATTGGAAACAACTAATCTTTGTTGGATAATTTGATTTAGGCGTTGGAGAGTTGCTCTTTTTTCCGCTGGCGATATTGGATCAGGTGGGACTATTCGATCCTGTGGAAACATAGAAAATGGACAAGATGAAAATAAAGTTGAATTTGATATAATAATAACGGTAAGCTTAAAACTTACTCTAATACATGTGGGCAATCGGGTGTAAGAACCAAGAGTGAGAACCTCAACTGCAGCCGGTAATTGGAGAGCAGGAAGTCTGATCAAAATAGAAAATTGAAAATGTTGTGAAGCCAAGATCAAAAGAGATTCTTAATTAAACTGATAATACCTTGCTTGGACTAGATTTTCTCGAGCCATTTTGGCAAGCATATCTGCTGTATCTATGTAAAACATAGCTTGTTTGTCCAGGAAAGCCACAATTGTCTAAATACAATGAAGAAGACACATGAAAAAAACATGAACAGGATGAAATGAATGGAGAAAATGTTGACCAAATAAATAAAAACGTGATCATTTCAAGTGGATGCTCATCAGTTTTGAAGAAAAAGAAACAACAATTACCGAACATTTTTCCACTTTAGAAGCACTTCCAGCCCATTTGACAAGGGCCAAAAGCCGAATGAATAACTGTCTCGTCCTGTTGGCAAAGCTAATGATTTCTATTTTCCTTTCAATATCAGACTTTTGTGGTAGTCTGGCAAGAGAAAAGAAGATAAAATGCAGAGAAACAAGACACAAAAAAGAATAAAAAAATAGAATCATTATTTAGAAAGAGATAAATTGAAAATGTTTACACACAATTAATAAAGAAAAAAGATGGAGAAAGGAAAAGAGAATAGAAAAAACCAATGGAAAGAAAATGTACTTACAGGTCAGTCAATATAAGAAGCTCTTGGTATGTACGTTGCACCGTAAAATCAACCAATCGAGAAAGTGACATGGTCGGCATTGAAATGGGCCGATTCTGGAATGAATTAATCTCCACAAGAGACATGATTAAATAAATTAATTAAATAGTTACAAATAAAATTACAAATGACTAAGAAAAACAAATCTCTCTCTTTCTCATTCCTTTCTCATCTCAACCAAAAATGACGGACTCGCTTTTCTATCGATACTTAACACGGATTCAAATAGAATATCGATACTCAACATCGATGTATCGATATCGAATTTCGGTTTTCATTTGGAGAAGAAAATTTTTTTTGTCAAATTGCGATTAAAGAAAATCAATTCATCTTTTTTAATTGTTTTACTGTTTTACAAAATTTTCTTTTATATGAACAAATTTTAATTGTGGCTTGGAAGTTCTTTGCCGTTTCTCGCAGTGTACGATGGAAATTTGTTGGATTGGAAATGTTAGTACATGTAATCACCATTTGTTAACTGGTTCTCGACATGATTGAGTTTTTCTGATCAAGTAGTTGAATGTATTAGGATTCAGGTTGCGATTTGATTGTGAATTAGACGATCTTGAACTTGGAGTCTGATCTGATGTTGGAATCTTTGGTTTCATCTTGTTGGCCATTACCAAGTTTCCATCTCGTTCCAAGTGCTATGAGTGAATGAAATCATGGAAATTTGTATGAAATAGTTTTGAAAGTAGTAGAAAAGTTAATTAGAAATAATTAATACTTACCAGGTCTACTTGTTGACAGTTTTCTATATAAACTATTGAATTATAATTTCCAGAAATATTGAATGGTTTCCTGGTGGGGTTTAGGTCCATGTTAAATTGTTGATTAGACGAAAATCGCACCAAATTAGAAAACGAAATAACTTTTAACTGTTCCTTACAAGATGCTTTTAAAGACTGATCATTGATTTGTTAACTCTTGAGAATTTTAAAGACTTAGCCGAAAAACCAGTAAGCGGTAATTAAGCTGATTGTGAAAAGAAATCAACAAACATCATCCAAGAGAAATTTTAATTGTAAGCTAATGATAAATGTTCGGCGAGAACTAATTGGCTAATGGAACTTGTTTACAATATAATTTCCAACAATAGTAATTAGATATTCTCTCACGAAAACATCCAAGATCAATATGTTTATCTTAAGTCTGAAAGTTTAATTATCCTGTTGACTATTGTTAAGAAATTAATTAACTTGAAAACCATAATTTCATCCTTTAAATATTAAAATGTTAGAACTTAAGAAATCAATCAGTGCTTAATCTTTATTGATGAATAACCATTTTAATGAGAAGTTTCAAATTCAGACTACAACAATGAAATTAAATCGAATCCATTTCAAGAATCTTGATAACATTATGTAATTATCATTGATATTGAACATCTTCTTAATCGCTCGGTTTAGTGGATGGTATTTCAACATTGGGTTTTCGATTAGCAATTGTCTCCTGCCTGGATTTTCTCGGTTCCTTGCCTTCGGTTGAGTTACGTGAGTCGACGTCAGATGCTGGCAAATTTACCGAGATTTCGGTCTTTTTTGATTCGTTATCGTTACCAAAGTGCTATCAACATGGTACACAAAATTTAAGATTAAAATGGATCGAAAGTCGAAATAAATTGAAAGGTACTTACAAGTTCTAATTTCTCTAAAGTTTCAATGAATAAGAAATTATGTTGTCCACTTATGTTGTAGGTTTTTAAGCCTTTTGATAAGTAGTTCATTTCTTTCTGAGTTTGCATGATGATTTCTCAGATTATATCTTTGATTACAAAACAATTGAAAAAAAGATTGAAAATTGAACAAGTAGATAAAAAAAAAAACAAATTTGAACAGTTAGTCTGAACTTCGACAGAGTTGAAAATGAGACTTTCTGAGCTCAGATTCAAAAGTGTGACTAGAGCTGATTTTGTCATCTAGTTGGTGACAAGTCGACTTATAAAAAACTAGGAAAAGGATAAGAGATTCATCAGCTAAATTGACTTGAGATCAGCTCAATTTCAGCTGATAAGATTAGCTACAGGGTATACAGAGCCTTTTATTTAGTTGACTCGGATTAGATAAACTTTCTTGTAGTGTATACCCTGTAATAGAGCTTGCCTTCATCTCTAAATAATTGACTTTGTTTTTGCCGAACTGAAAATCCAAGATCGTTAATTTTACAAAGAAAAATGTAATTAGAAACCTTTAAATGAGCATAACGGTTTTTGGTGATAATTAAATTGTTATTTCTCGTCTGATTGTTGCTTAATGATTATGAGATTGATTAACGGATTAATTTATCTACAATGATGTTGAGTAACTTTCCATCTTTCAATTATCTTTTTGAAAAATTGGAAACGTTGACCTTTGGTTCCTAAGCGCCGATCTGAATTCTGAAGATGATTCTTGATTGAATGTTGACGACTTGAGAGTCTAATGAATCAACCAAAATTTTGGAATCACTAGAAAAATATAACTAAATCAAGTAACAATTAATTAGTACAAAAGAAAATGAATAAGCACCGAGAAACAATCGACTAATTAAGTTACTTCAAAGCAAAAAGTTCAGTTATAAGAGTGACTTTGTTCATCCCGTAGCCCGAAAATCCTTCATCAAATAAAGGTAAATCTTTGGCTTTTCTGTAATCAAATAGATTAAAAATTAATTGTCTCAATTTATCATTCAGAGAAATCAACTGAATATTGGGAAAAAGTCACACTTGCTTTGTATCCATGATATAAAACCATAACGGTAATTGCAACAATCGATGTACCTGGTTGAGTCAATACCATAGATTTCAACTGACTATTCTATAGATGAATTATTGACAACAAAAATTGAGCCCAATTTTGTTTCGTCTTTGACAAGTTTCAATCTGATTGGACCAACAGAGTTTGGTGATGATATTACCTATTGACCTATGATCAGATAAGGTTAATATTATATTTATCTGAATATTTCGAGACGGGGAAAACCTTAGACGAATATCATTTCCAATAGTTGGTTAATTTATGAGCATCAATCGATTCCAATAATCCTATGATAATTTAAGAGAGAAACAATCGAACACAACAATAAACTCAATCAATGATTCTACCAAATGATTTTCTTACTAAAAGAATTGACCAGTGGATCGTCTCGAGTAATTAATTGTAGCAGTTCCTCTTTATTACGATGACTCGCTTCGTAAGCTTTGAAACGAAATTCAGATGTAAATTAATTTAATTAGAGAGAAATTAATTGTTACCTTAGGAGCTTCAGCATATTGAAAAGTGGGTACGACGAAAGCTTTATCACAAGTTTACATTCCTTTGATGATTGAGATAAACTTAGTCTCTAAATCAGTAGATGGTTTAAAATTAGCATCACTAATAGGATTAAATTAACTGGGAGCATTTTATTGATGCATCTTTCATCTTGTTGATTGGATAAATTTGATTATTTTCCGTACAAAGTAACAAAGTTTGATTGATCATACTTTTCAAACATTTGATTGCGAAAAGGTTTGACAGGAACTAATTAACAAAGTCGACTTATTTATTTAAACTCAGAACAGCCATAGTAACAGCGCTCATGTCATTATTGGCCGCTCTCAAAAACCATTCTCTAGCTGAGGTCGCATTAGTAATTGTTTCCTGGGTGGTGAAAGTTTTAGATGCAATGATGAACAATGTTGTCTCAGGATTTAGTTTCGCCAAGGTTGTGGCCGAATGAGTTCCATAGATGCTGAATACTTTTTTCGCCGGTGATGAGATTATTGTAAGCTTGTGAATTTTTGTTCTTTTGTTATTTCAGGAAAATTCATCGTTCATTTTATTGTTTTCCTTTGTTTCAGGTGAGTAAATTTTCATGATTAATTTTATGCAGTTATCGAATAAAAGGTGGTCCAAAGGCAATGAGACAATTTATTGAAATAGATTTTCTTACGAACAAAAACTCAATTGGAATTTTCAACAAGATTGTCACAACAATCTGCTTGAGTTTAGTTTGTAAAAGAATATTTGACAGAAATATTGTTTAAATTGAAAAAAAAAGTCAAAAAATGTAATAGCACCTAAATTTGCCCGCAGTTAAAATGTTTCGTAATCTTGGTCATTCGCATAATAACCACGCGAATTTTGGTTTCAACAAGATAATTAGAGCCCTTCTCAAAGCTGAAAACGTCTGAATTGTGCTATTATCTTTCCACAATTAAATAAATCATATTAATTATTAAAATTCAAAGTGTGTATAGTATTTTTGCTTAGCAGTGTAGTTTACATATTCGTCGTTGAAGATTCTTCACGAAACAAACTTACACTCTTAACTTGACCCAAGCTCGTTTATCTTAAAATTTTGGATAGGTGGCGATGTTCTGAACGGTCAACTTAACGGTATCAAAGTCCTAATATTGGAAAATTTTGCACGAAAAACTTAAAGTCTACAGTCTCAGTTTCGAGATTGACTTTTTGATTAGTGGATAATGAAAATTATGTTAAATTTTAATTCAACTGTAATCATTCATTTTAACACAAAGATAATCGAAAAATTATTGGAATTGAAATTTACCTGATAATTATCGATACCTATCATACATGTATATTACTTTTTTAGTCGTTCGACAATTTTCTGTAAAAGTTTGCAACACGGTTTAAAAGTTCCTTTCAAGGATTTTCGTCGAAATTTTAACGCTACCTGTGAAGTAGTTATTCTTACGTGTGTAAGTTTTTTCATCATCGTTGATCTCAACAAAAGGTTCCACCATTGGTTTTGAAATTGCCTTTTCATTGATCTTTGGTTCATCAATAATTGATTCTTGAGTTTCTCCGTCTTCAGTCTCATCAGCAGAAGTTTTCTTCGGCGGGTCTAATATCGCTTTCTCTTTGTCCTTTGCTTCTCGTTTATCAAGCTGACTGTTATATTTATTTTCTTCAGCACCATAACTAGTAACGAAAGTAAACAAAAAAATATATAAAATTATCAACACTGAGGTGAACGAAGTAATATTCACGAAGTTCATATTGATGATACTGAAGCACAATTAGTTTAAATGAATAAATGTTGTTCTGAAGTTTCTCAAGTTGAACAATTAACGATTGAAGAGTCAAAATTAATCATGAGAAATTTACTTGGGGAAAGTTAGTGAATTCAGGTAAACTGTCCAAGTAGCAAACTCTTTTCAATTATCTTGCATTATAATTCAGTAGATATATTCTAAACGAA